ATTTTCGAGCAACGGTCGTCGTTGGGATACTATTATTCTGATGCAATCGATATCGTTTCCGGTGCAAAACTAATATAATATTATTATGTAAATGGAATATTCAGGTGACAATTATTATTGTTTGTCGATAGGTCCGACGATGGTTGTGTAATAATATATATATATATATATATATATATTATAAAGAGAATCATCCATCACCGCGGTGGCCGGCGGTCCGTGACAATTTCTGTGGGGGCTTTATCCGGTAAACTATCTCTGCGGTCTTTGGGGATTCTATTGTGTGTGTGTGTGTGTGTGCATTTATAATAATAATTATTATCAATCATTATTATATTGTAATGATAATCGACAGAGGCGCGCAGACGGATAGAGTTCATTGCTGTCGTCGAAGCGGTCCTAATGAACCGAATAAAACCGACATACGTCAAAGCGCTGTTGGATATGTCTGATTGAGCGCAAAATAAGGGGAGGCAAAGACAAACGAGGAGGGGAGATGTAACGTCATCGTTATTATCATTATAATAATATTATTATTATTATTATTATACGGACAAAGAGACGAACGAGGGAAACTGTTCCGTGTAGAGTGCTATTGCATGTGGGTGGTTCAAGCGCACGGCCTGTGTAATTATCGTATCACGTTGAACTCCCACGACCAGCCCTGCAGATGCGTTTAATTGGTCCAAATCAATGGTACAGGCTGTTGCCAACCGTCCTTTGACAGTCCTACGTTAATAATTGTATTAGACCTAATCGGTCAGTTACGTTAGTTACAATACAGTGTAAACTTCTATGAAAAATTGATAAAAAAAAAAAAAAAAATACTTATTTCATGACGTTGTTATATTTTATAAATATTTAAATACATATATGTATTTACTGTTCATTTACATGATACATAGTATACTAAATTTGAATATTATCCAAGTCCAAAATAAATAAATAAGATTCAATAAAGACAAGATAAACTCAAGATAAAGTCAAGATAAAGATAATATGGTAAATCGAATGTATAAGATTTTGTCGTTTAAAAACATTACTCGTTATTAATAATAATAATACATAATCATGTGTATTATATTCTGTCGGTTCAGGGACGGATTGATTATTTGGATCATAATCCTAGGAATAAAATAAGTAAACGCGATAAAAAGAATAGTATAACTCAACGACTCAACAGCCACCGAAAAATCTAGAAATCAACAAGAACGGTAAAAAATGTATAACTTTTAACATACTTTAACAAACTTTATTTTTAGAGGTTTGAGGAGTGTTTTACACTTAAAGGATCATCCTGTGTAGAGGCTAAACAATTTCATATTAGATTAAATAGTTAAAATTTAGATTAAAATAAAATGTTTTCTACAAAATCACGAACACAATAATTATAATCAATATAATATCATTATAAAGAATAGAGTTTTAGAAGATAAATTTTAAGATGAGTCAAACTACACAAATCTTTGTTTAATTAAAAAAATATAATTTAAATAAAAGCCGTGCAATTTTTTCGTGTAAACCTAATTAGTATGAAATACAATACAATTAAATAATAATTGTAATTCTGTAGTTTTTCTTCAAATGTAGACATTTTACTTTACAGTAATAAGCCACTTTCAAATTTTTTTTTTTTAATTCCAAAGCTGATTGACTTTATAAATTAAGAATACCTAATAATATTTACACGGAAAACCACTTACAATGGTAAAACGACTTAGCTAGGTACAAAATATCAAAGTTTTCAACAAAAACTATAAAATAGTAATTTTTCTTTTGTTTTTTGCGAAATTTGGTTTCTTCCTTAAAAAAAAAACGGTCACATTATTGTTTGTTGTATATAATTATTTCACGGTTTGATTTTTAAATTTTTTATTAGCTTTCATCAAAAGGTATTACGGGGTCGACAATTATAGATAGGTATTGCACATAACAATTGTTGATGTTGTTGATAAAATATTGATGTTATTATATAAATGACAGTATCGTCCGGGAAATAAATTCCAAACGAGAGAATCCCCCAATAATGATACTTTAATACCGAACAATAGGCGAACGCTGTGTGTCTGTTTCTTGGTTTGTCGAACACAGAGAGAGACCTTAATAATCACCACCACAATGCAATGCGAATTCCACGAAATCAACCCTTTGGCCCGAAACGGAGTTTTCCCATTAAATTATCTTTAAACGCGGCGGTACGCGGAATTTCGCTTCAACAGGAGGGCTGTTCCGAATTATTAATTATTATTATCCGACAAGTTATTTAGCAGCAACAGCAGCAGCAGCCGCGTTGGTTATGTAAAATATTTCTGTTTAAATCACAGTTTCCAAATGCAATGTTGTTTAACGACCGCCGACTTCTACCGAAATTCGCCGGCAAAGGCTTAGACAACAATTATTATTATTACTATCTCTGCGCGAAGCCGCGCCGGTTAGGTTATGGGCCCAAAAAATGAGCAAATATATTTCTGAATAAACGATTAAAAATATTTTTACCACACCCGCGAGACAACACCGGCTTAATTTATGCTGCAGTTAATTTTCACAAAAAAAAAAAAAAATCCCTAAGGTTTTCTTGAAATATAATACAACATTTTTATTAAAAACAACCTTAAAAAATGTCTGATAACAACGTTTTTTAACTGCGATAAACGTCAAACTGTGATTTTCACACGTTGGAACGAGGTAAAATATTTTTAAAAAAAGCATCCAAGTAATTTATCCCGGATAATAATCTAAAACGGTCTACTAGTCCATTAATTTATTAAGTGAAAAAATATTGGCTTTTAATTTTAGCTCTATTTTTCACAATGCCACGCTAAAATAAAACAGAATATATTTTGCCTTTGTATGCTTGCGTTCCATTTCAAACTAGTATTTTGTTTATACAATTATAAAAATACAAATCCTAACCACAAAAAAAATATATACTTATTTCGCTCACAAGTATTTATATATATATATATATATATTTTTTTTTTTTTATTGTGGTTATGGTTTATTTATAATTATTGTATAATAAAAACCACAGCTGTCACTCACTACACTTTAAATTGACTGTTTCGTTTGTATTATGCTTTGCACTCATAATAATATAGCTAATTTGATAAATATATGTTTGAATAAAATAAAAAAAATAAAAAGTTATCACACCTCCCTTTATTCTTGTCACCAAAGGGAGAAAATACAATTAAGTGACCGAAAATTTAATAAAATCTACATATATGTAATCCTTTTTATTGTTTTTATCATGAACATTTAATCTTTTCTTTTTTTCTTTAATTTTAATAAACAAATAATGGTTTTGTAAAGTAATCCCGGTGGGTCTATTCGCCATATTATGTACAACTCAAGGGTGATACTTATATTATAAAAACGTTTATAGTTCATTATTTATAAAAAAAAAAAAAAAAATCCGTGGATAGTATGTTCAAACCAGTTATAGCGGTTTAGAAGATATCGTGGGATCAACAATGATGTACTTAAAATTTAATATTTAGTCTTGTGCAGGGTGGATACGATAAGGGTAGATCGTCTGTCTATAAAAATGTTCTGTCATAGTTACCCATATATCGTAAATAACAATATAATGAAAATATTTTCATTATATTATATTATATTACCTGTTGACTGTTATTCACTCACACATACCAACCTAGAAATTGACTACGGCCAAAGTCTAAAATTTACCCTATTTTTTGAGTTTTTCCTTAATAAAACAAAAATTTGACTACAGATTTTTGAGAAAATTGTATATGGTATAGTTCCATTTTAGATCTACCTTCGGTCTAATTTTTAGGTCTAAAACTCAAAAACATAGCTTGAAAAAGTGAAATAAAGAAAAAAATGCTATCCTTTCAAGGGCAAAGGGTTTATGATATTTGTTTGGCTTGTTAATGTTTATCGATAGCACTATGTTTGAAGAACAGTGCATATCAATTTGGAACATTTTTGACTATTTTTAAAAAAGTTATAGAGCATCGTAATTTTAAGTTGAAAAATTTGTACATTTTTTGGGTGTTTTTCTCGATTTTGATGTGGAAGAGGTGACTTTTTTAAAAAATTTTAGTCCGATAAAGTACCTTTCAGGTATGATTTCTGATCTATAGAGTTGCTATACTAAGGAGTCAGTTCAGCGGTTTAGGAGATATCGTGGGTCCAGACACAAAAATAAAAACACATAATTGTAAAAACAAAATCTTCTCAGCTCCGCACCGAAGCTAAAACCGCTAAAGGTGCGTCGAAAATAAGAGTTTAAACGGCTTCATTTATGCCGGGGAGCCTTTGACGACGACGACGACGGTTTTGGTGTTATGTGCCCCTGGTACCGGTGGCGTCTTACGCCGAAGGGTGCCGTTGCCTTTTAATTCGTTACCGAGCTCGGCGGATTTACCAGAAAGGCCGAAAATGCCGTTTTTAGGATAGCTCGGGTACCAGGATCGCATAAACCGTGTAGCCTTTGCCCCGGTCGTTCCGGCAACAAAGGACAGCGCAAGCTATGACAAAACACAACCACGACTTGTTCTTAATTTAATAAGATATACGTTACCTACTGTTTTGAGTACAAAAGTTGATAGAGCTCTGGAAAATACCAAAAAAACTGTTTTTGTAGTTTTATAATATTTCGTAAAATACCACAAACGGAAATGTTTTCATAAAGGTTTTATAAAGGTCAATCAGAGGAGAGGGTGGGGAACGGGTAAGCAAGGGAAAAGAAGTGCGGGTAGTGGAATGAAAGGTGAGGGTAGGAGGTAATTGATAAGAGTATCAGCTGTCGAGGGATTATTGATAAGAGACACGATATATTTTATCGGATTTCCGACAGAAGAGACTGTAGATAGAGCGAGTAGAGGAGAGGGAAGGTTGGGGGAAATTACCATGAACGCAAACACCATAGATTCCTTCGGTCCGGGGAAAGACCCGACTTTGTTTTATCCCCCCCCCCCGCCGTATAATCAATAACGATCAATGTTCAATAGTCACGTTGATTCACGTTGCAGGTCGATCAATTTCAACAAGGAGACGGGCGACTGTTATCTGAACGACGTGGACAGGTTCACGATGGCCGGGCGGCCGTCGATGGCCAACGCCGGCCGCAACAACGGGTCGTCGGCGGACGCGGACGCCATGGTGGACTACATGGAGTCCAACTGCGTGCAGGAGCAGCCCAAGATGTGCGACTTCGCCGAGGTGGCCGGCAAGCTGCTGAAGACGGTGGACGCCGTCTACGAGAACGTGGCCACCATGGACCGGTGCAAGGAGATATGCCTGGCGGCCAAGGAGTTCCGGTGCCACTCGTTCGACTACAACGAGACGGGCGTGAACGTGTGCCGGGTGTCGCACCACAGCACGTCCAGCCTGTCGCAGCTGGAACGGCCGTACCTGTCCGTGCCGGGCGCCACCACTTACCAGATGTCCTCGTGCTTCGCCGTCAAGATCGACTGCCGCGGCACCGACATGGTGGCCACCATACACACCAACCGGTTGTTCGACGGCAAGGTGTACGCCAAGAACAGGCCCAACTCGTGCGTCAACGACGTCAAGGGCGCGCTCGACTTTGAGCTGCACCTGGACTACCACAACCTCGACTGCGACGTCCGCCAAGACCATCCCGGCAAGTTCTTCACCGAAATCATCATCCAGGTTGGTCCGGGTCGCTTTACTCGAAATGGAACGGGTCCCGTGGAGGGGACAGGAGATCGTAGATAGGGTGAGGAGAGGGCAGGAGATTGTAGATAAACGATGGAAGGGTGTTATCATCACTTTGACACAGTGGCCAAAGTGGTTAGAAACGCAATTTTAGCTAAAAAAAAAATGTTAGCGTTTGAATTTTCAACTATCTGACTTTATAAAAATTTGAATTTAAAATCAATATTTGTCGGGTCGAATAAAACAGTAGCACTCCTATTTGCTATTAAATAATAATATTGATCCCTATCGGTAATACTGTCACCGATAATCGGACATAAATAACATTAGATCCAACTTTTTTTTTATATTATCGGTTTTATCGACGGACGACGGGATCGATAATATTATTGAATAGCATGTAATATGCTACCCTTGTTGAAATCCCAAACGAATATAGATCAAACTTTCAAATTTTTACAACGTTATAAGTAGGGAACCGATTGATGAAAATTACAAATTCAAACACTAAAATTGTTTTTAAAATGTCTACAGATTTATGATATTAAAAACATACGTTCCCATTTAACAAACCAAATAATTGTTTTACATATAAGGGTTGAAGACAAATGTATTCTAAGTATTGAAAAATGTAGAAAAATATAGATAAGTAGAGGAACTTTTTTCAAAATATTAGAATTTTCCGAGAAAATAAGTGCTTTACGTTAGTTGGATCACCCTATGGGAATTAAACTGGGGAATATGAAAAAAACTTGTTCTAACAAAGCTGGGCAGGATACTTGACCATTAATGAGTTTTGAACATAATCGCAACGTCCGGATAATAGTTGTGAATAATGAGGACAGGCTAAGGACCCAGACTGAATATTCTGGACCGGTATCAAGTGGCGAAGAAATCGTCTTTGAACTGTCTTTAGCGATTCAGTCAAGCCAACAATGGTAAGGGTTCCAGATAAAGGACCATACTCCATAGTTGGTTTGACCAAAGCGCATTGTAAAACATAGGTACCTTATTATCAAACTCTTTAATATTGCGCAACATAAACCCCAAATTCTTTAATGCTTTAGAACGAAATCAGAAAAAAACTTGAGAATACAAATTTAAATTGCTATGGAAAACATCACCGAGGGGTTTATACGACGTTTGCCTCAGTTAACAAGGTCCAATTGAACTTTTGCACAATCGCCTGTTGTCTCAAAAGGATAACACAACAGCATTAAGTTTCAGATCATCAGCAAAGTGCTGGAGCCTACGAAATTGAATTGAGGGCCCAATATAATTTATAAGAAAAACAAAGAAAAATAGCGGAGTTAGATGAGCCGCATATAAATATATATTATGACGCATTATGATGTCTCGTATAAATACTGACGCCACGAGATTGCCGGCGACCGTTGGACTGTTATTGCTCGTTATTAATGTGTATTTTTAGCCGTATTTGTTCAAGAGATAACATTTTGTGCGTTTCCCGAAGGTCCGCCATATTTTATCGACAGCAGAGTAATAACAAACAACTGTGTGCGACGCCGGCGTGGCGGCCAACATGTTATAAATAGATAGAGGGAAGGGATTGTAGATAAAGGGATTCGAGGGTAGGATAATAAACATAAATATAAACATAAACACCAGCCGGCGGAGGGGATGGCCCGAAACAATATCCAGAAATTCATTGTTTTTCCACGAATTGGATAAAGTGTCTGGGTTTAGTTTCCCGGTTGCCCCACTTCAAAAATATTATATCATATTAAAAACCAGAAGAAATCCTATTTATAAAAGATAAACGACATGGTATAACATGCACGTGGCTAACCTATTTCTTAGCTAGCGTGTAATTTAGAAATCCCAACTGAAAGTTACTTTAAATGGCCGAATTGTCCAATTATTAAATATTACATTTAATATTCAAATAAAAAAAAAAACAGAAATACTACTTTAAAAGGTAATACTGCTAGAGATGTCTTTAAAAAGTCAAATATAAACTCAAATTTTAGATTTTCCTCTGGAAAGCAGAATGATGAAATGAAAATAAATAATGACTGGTCGACAAACAGTTCTGGCGAAAAACTTTTCAAATTATTAGCATTTCAATGTTTAGAGACTGAGGGTAGAGTTACACTGAAATGTTATTTATATCCACAAGCCCCAATTCATCAGCACTACATACCACGCCAAAACTTTAAACGCTGAGAACTCCAAAAAGCGTAATATTCAAATCCGCTTGTATAGACCAGTTGTTATTTTCATTATACCGTCCTGCTTTTAATGGGTAATTAAAATATACTGTACTTCGCTGTTTGACTTTTAACATTGATTTAGTAAACAATAATATTCTCCTACCATCCATTGAGAATTGGTCGCCCTTGCCGCTCTCGACTTCCACTCAAAACATTGGCCCGTTTTTCTTTTTCTGATCGCACTAAGCTTAATTAATTAAACCATAAATTCGAAACACTTCATTTTAAGTAGGTACTTTTGAGCTTTAAATAAAAAAATTAGCACTCCAATGATGATAGGTTAAATTTTTATAGGATTTAGGTTGGACAGGTCAAGTTGAGATTAGATTTGGATTAGTACGGTTTCAACCATCAATATCGGGGATATCCTATCGATAATCCTTATTAGATTTGAGGAATGAATTCACTTGATATGTCTGACGGCTGGGGGTCATTCTGAACATTTGTCCGTCACGTTTTGTGTCACAGTGCTGACGTCATTATGCAATTATGGAGAAGGATTATGGCGGAGGATTATGGAGAGACTATAGAGGAGTATCACGGAATTAAGGAGGAGTATTAAAGAATTGTGGAGAAGTATAAATGAGGATTATGGAGGTGAATCAATAGAGATAGTGGATTAGAGATAATACAGGGTGTCTCAAAAAGAATGGTGAGGTTTCAGACGGCTGTAGGTTGTGAAGTGTTGGGCCTACAGCGCTCTGGTAGGGCTCGATTGAAAGAGGTAGTTGTCAAGTTTCGAATGACTGCCACTAGGTGTCTCTGCCGCTAGATGTTTTACAGTCGTAACCTAACCTAACCTAACGGGGCAAGGGGATAGGGGTAAGAAGGAAAGGGAAGAGGAGTTAAGGGCTGTTTAAATTTGTATTACCGAGGTTTTCGGACCACCCCAACCCATGTGTAACACTGTGATATTGTGAATTTCAGCACCACGACCAGATAGTGACGGGCCAGGACGTCGGGCTGTCGGTGAAGTGTTCGTACGATTTGCAAAACAGGAGCGTCGGCCAGGGCATAGAGCTGGCCATGGCCGCGGCCGAGTCCGAAGCGCAGGGCGCGGCGCACGAGGCCGGCGGAGTGTTGGGCGGCGGCATGGGCAACGGCCTGGACGACAACGACGTGGAAGAGGCCGCGTTCGTCATATCGCCCACGGTGATGATGCGGATCACGAACCGCGACGGGGGCGACATCCACGCGGCCCAGGTGGGCGACCCGCTCAGCCTGAGGTTCCACATACTGGACGACCGGTCGCCGTACGAGATATTCGTCCGGGAGCTGGTCGCCCTGGACGGCGTGGACGCCAGCGAGATCGTGCTGATCGACGGCGACGGCTGCCCGACGGACCCGACCATAATGGGCCCCATATCGGCCGTGGACACCGGCACGCCCGGCACCGTCAAGATACTGGAGGCGCCGTTCGACGCGTTCAAGTTCCCCACGTCCGACATCGTCCAGTTCAAGGCGTTGGTCACACCGTGTCTGCCCAAATGCGAACCAATCAACTGCAACGTGGTCGGCCAAAACGGGTCCGTCCGGCGAGCGGACTCGTTCGGCAGGTGAGTCGTTGGTGAAAAACAAAGTCAAATATGGCAAAAATTCTTAGGTCGAGGAAGATGTAGTCTCAGGTCTTGGTGTCAAAAGTGTGTGTATGGGTTACGTAAATGGAACGGAGAAGGATTATGGAGGGTCATTCTGAAAATAAAGTTAAGAGTTTCCACACTTAATGCAGATACATCAAGTTGCAGGATATGTAAATACCGTACACATTGTTCAAGAACCACCATCTATACAACAAATAACGTTTCTCTGCGCTACTCTTTGTTTAATCTTTAGATGTACGCAGTGTGATAAAAACGTATCTAACCTAATCTTTTTTTTGATACCAGCAACCGGGAGTGAACCGAGTTAACATTACTTCCTCCCGGCTACCATCGTTTATTGTTTAAACAACAACATATACATTATACGTACAACATTTAAGTGGAGGGCTCTATCCCTCAAATTTTCACCATATTGGCCTACAACAGTTTCTTGACTAGTTAACTATGCACAATACAATACAACAACATACGTGGGGGCCTCTAACCACCCTTCGGCTTTTAACAAATCTATTTATAATCTAATCTATTCTATTTTAGTATATTACCTTCTCTTCCTCATCTAACCTAACCTAACCTAACCTAACCAAACCAAACCTAACCTAACCAAACCCAACCAAACCAAACTATGTATTGACGTATCTGCATGAAGTGTCTGCACTCAGTTACCAATAGATTTTAATATTATTGTCTGTGTGCTGCTCAGGCGGAGACGACGGAGCGTCCAGGACCAGACCACGGACGAGGTGGTGTTCCAGGAGATCCGGATCGAGGACAAGTTCAAGTTCGACGCACGCAAGGCCGTGGACGCCGCCGGCGAGGGCGGGGACAACGAAATGAACTTCGCCGGCGGTCGCCCGTTCGCCGTGTGCTGGAACACTTACTCGTTGGCCTTGCTGCTGGCCGCTTTCGGCCTGCTCCAGCTGTTCGTCGTGCTCGGCTGTTACCTGTGCGCGGCCGGCCGCCGCAAGTCCAAACCGGGCGGGCCCAAGGCCGGAATATACGAGACGGCCATCAGCGACTACGCCGCGGCCACCGTCCGCAGTCCCGTCTCGTGGGACAACAGGGACTATTACAACTAATAGGGGAAAAAAATTGGGTTTTCCCCGCTTAATTTATTATAATATTGTGCTAAGAACAAAAAAAACAAAAACGATAACTCCCAAAATCAATGATAACTTTTAAAAAAAAAAAGCAGTTCAATTTTTTTTACCTTTACATGGACCCTAAACAAAAATTGGGATAGTTGACTGCGCACTTTGATTTACATTTTTATCAGAACGTTCTGAAGGTAAAATAAAAAAACACTCCTCATATCTTATCATCCCTCATTATCGCTAATTATTAATTTAGAGTGACCGTTTACTATACCTATCTCTATTGTCTGGACAAAGATTGCAATTTTCACCATCGGCCATCTTCTTCTCATGTTGGCAAGACTACTGTCCAAGATGATTTCCAGCCATTACTTCACTCCGCCACTTGTCTCTATCTTGAAATGCATATCTATTTAGTCTTCAACTCCTGGGATTTTTAGATCTTCTTCTGCAACATCAATCAGTTCCACCAGTGTCGTCACGATTATTATCTACTAATAACAGATAAAAATAGTTTTTTTTCTCTAAAGTGGCTGCACTGAAAATTGCAACCCTCGTCCAATCAATACCTCCGCGTAGCGGCTCCTATTATTTTACTCATAAACTCTTATCGCTCTCTCCTTATCACATTTCTTATCTCTTCTCGCTTATCTTTATCACACAGCAACAACTGCTTACACTTTTTAAATGGCAGTTTCAAGTGTTACTAAAACTTCAAAAAAGCCTAACCAAATCAATATTATACTTATACAAAATGATGTACCTATATCTTGGACTTGCCTAGAAAATCGTATAAGATTCGGAGTTGTCGTTTTGTTTTTTTTGTCTTAGGTATTTTGTACATATGATGAAAACTATTTAAAAAAAAACGAGAGGTACCCTAAAAAGAGAGAGACGTAAAGACACGAGTCCATTTTTTATTTTTAAAAATGTCCACAAACCGTTGACCAGAGTCCAAAACGGTCATGGATAAACTTAGGATATACCTACCCATCTTAAATATTCCCATTGTGTTATTATGAAAACCAGAAAAAATTACAACACTAAAATTAATAATCAATATATACCAACATAAAGAGTACAAAAAAAACTTTAGCAAAGAATACCTATTTTTTGTGTAGACAAATATTTCCTCCTGTAATTAATTTCTGGATGTTGTAGATTTTTTGTTTTATAACAAACACTATAACCCATTTTAAATGTTGAATTTGTTTTTCTTGGCAAAATTAAGCGACCAGACTTTAACTAAAAACCTTTTTTTATTGAGAAAGTCAAACTAATATCAAAATGGACTCGGATCTATACTGCTCTCGTGTGTTTTCAACGAGGGACGTTTTGGGTTTTTTAATGTAATTATAGAGATCAGACCTGGACAAAAGTCAATTAAAAAAAAGCTTAAAATTCAAATATATACAAAAAAAAAATTAAAATTATATTAAATTGTTTACATGAATCATAAAAATATGCTCTCTCGTCGCATTGAAAAATTAAGTTAAAAAAAAAAATAATAAATGTATTTCAGACGTTTGAAAAGAAAAATATGTATTTTTAATTTAAAAAAAAAAAACAATTATTTCGTTCGCTAAACTCTAAAATGTTTATTAAAATAATTATTCGTTTTTTGCACGTTAATATTGTAATTTTTTCTTATAATTAAACGCGTTGTTGTCGTTTGAACGAAAATTGCTCAGGTCTGGTTTTCGAATAGATTGCAATATTTATTATTTATTAAAAGACATATTTTTTTATATTTTTTTATTGTATTTATTTATTTATTTATTTTGTACCTATTTATAATATGTTTTGTATAGAGTCGAGGTATCCTTTTTTTTTTATTAAAAAGTTTATTGTCATTTTTTTTGTCACATTATTCATTTCTAACATAATATTGTAAAATTGTATTTCAACTGTCTCTTAGACACAGTGTTTGAGATATGTTAAGATCATATAGCTACTATAACAAGGTTGTTATTGTTGTTTTATTAAGTTATATATTTTTTATTGGGTTTTCTCTGAGAAACATATAAACACTAGAAAAGTATTTTATAGAGACTTCTCAAACATCGTTGCAAAATAAAAGATATTTGGTTTGTTCAGAAAATCATAGTGCACAATTATTACGCTGACCGATTTTATTTTTTATATATTTTACATAAAAAAACAACTTGGATATTTTGAAAATTTGATCTCCAGTGCAATTTTGAGTTTATTTCCAATGGGTAAATTTTTAATTAGAATATTTTTTATAAACGTATTGTAAACAACTTTTACAAAAAAAAAATATATACTGTTTTTTTTTTTTTAATTTGTTCGGTTAAACGCAAATAATAGGTCCTATCGAATTACAATAATAGATAATATTTCAACATTTTTTCTAAATAGAATGTCATTATAAATACATTTTAGATAGCAAACTTTGAAAATTTCACGGAATTAAACAATTTAAAAAATAATAAAATGATTTCAATGTAAATAGTTATATAAAATAAATTTGTATTAAAAAAATAGGTATTTTAATGAATTGGAAATATTTTAATAATAATAATCGTTTCAAATTGAAAAAAAAAATGATTTTAAATGGAAAATCAAAATGTGTTTTTAAATAAGAAATTATTTGATACAAATAAGTAAAATAGTAAAATTGATTGCTAAATTTATATTTACTGTTCGATTTTAACCCCCGAAAAAAAAGTTAGATATTTTATATTAAAACTAGTATATTTTCCTTTATAATTAAAATTATTATTTTTTAACAAACCCTCATTAGCAATAGTTTTAAGACAACAAGTCAACCTACCTGCCTAACACAACTGTATTTAGAATGTATTATATATAGTACAATGTTCAATATATATTTCTATTTTCTATAATAATTCTTTAAAAATATGCAAATACGATTACAATATAATAATAAAAAAAAAAGAAAAGGACATTTTACATTACATTATAAATATAGTATAATATAAACACAAGAAGAACTTTATAGTATTTTTCAATCACAGCTAGGCAAAATTCGAAATTTGTTCTATCTAAACGAAGCAATTGATTTCAATAAAAAAAATATATAATATTAACTTTTATTTAATCGTTGACAAGATTGTTCAACAGAAATCATTTTTTTGATTTCAAGTTACTTGTAATTAATTTGAACAATACTAGTTTACTATCGTGCGACAAATTTAATAATTATTTTAAACATTTTGTATAAATATAATATGTTGGGTGGAAAACCAAAAGGATTACAAAAATACTGAAATGTTTATGTTTTGAATAAAACCGATTGAAAATTATAACTGACAAACCGAATCAATCAGAAAATTATTATAATTACATAAATTATTTTTGGTGTTAAGAACAGAAGAATTTATTTTTTATTAATTTATATATTTATAAAAAAAAAAAGGTATTTAGTTAATATTTATGGAAATGTCTTTAGTTTAAAAATTAAACAAGATAATATTTTCACAAAATATTCACACACGCACACTGGATTCCAGGCCGATACGATAAAGAGACAAAAAAATAGTTTAAGTATAATAATAATATTTATATATATATATATATATTTTTTTTTTAAATAATCTATAATAAAAAAAAAATAAGTAATTTTCACAAAAACAATATAATAGCGTATTATAATTAACGTATTAACATATATATATATATATATATATCGGTAAATCGAGGGCTGTCCGACGGTTAATAACACAATAATAATAATATCTAGATAATATATATTTGATACTACATATAGCTGAGACTACGGCACAGACGATACCGTTACAATATCTTTACGTTACCGTTAACGGCTCAAAACCACCGATAATCATTAATAATAATAATAAATAATAGGTTTATATAGTTTACGAGGCACAATTCACAGTTCACGTACACAATATTGTAATTGGTCCGATATTTATCAACAGACTACACAAATACACAAATAAACAAATATGTAAATAAAGGATATATATATAGAGAATATAAATCGTTTAGTTTAAGTAGAAGACATCTGTTAACAAAATATATGCATAATAATAATTCAATCAATCACAAGTCTGTCCGAAACACGCTAAATTACTATAATAAATTCAACGAGGAATTTTATCGTATAAAACGACGACGCTAATACAAAAAACGTTTTCCAATTTTTTTTTTTTGCAATGTAAAATCAAAAAATGATAACAAAACGGTTAAAAAAAAAAACAAAAATTAATTAATTATATCACGATTATTATTTACGCGTAATAATGATAATAATAATAATATTAAAAAAAATTAATAATATAGTAATAGAAATCGATGAGAGATTTTTATATCGGAGAATAATTAATTGTATTACGTTCGGATCAGATCTGAAGTTCTGAAAGGCGAAGACGAAGGTCTATTATCGGTCACGCTTAACATTATTATCAGGATTAAACGCTAACAATTATCGGGTTAAAACCGAAAAATACAAAAATATATTACGGCTAATAATTTATGTTTTCTATTATAAAATTCGTTTTAAAAAAATAAAGTATTAAATGTACATTTCAATAAACGATTACTACAAAATATAATATATCTTCGATTAGTATACATTTTTTTTCTTTTATGTCTATCGCTCCAATTCATTTGGTTACTCGTGTGTGGACGGTTAGTCGAAAAAAATTACCGCTCGGGGTTGTCTTATTATGATACGGCACACGGTGCAAAAAAACAGTCAAAAATAATAATAATAATATTATTGTGATACATATTTTATGAGATTACCGAATAAAGGATAAAAATAAAAAAAAAACAAATTATAAATATTTATATAAAGTAAAGAAAAAAAAACTAACGAGAGTTGAAAAATAAAAATTTAAATAAAAAAACAAAAATAATAATAATAAATGTTAGAATAAACGACGATGGTTAACAGTCCGAAGTGGACACGTTTGATGACACGGAATGTGGAGCCGAGCTTTTAGCGTCCGGTTCGCTGTCGCATATGTACTTGCCTGAAACGAATAAAAGATTGTCAGTTTTTTTTTTATTTTATTCAATCCAATATATAAATCCAAATAATAGTTTCATTATTTAACGATAAATAATTATTTTTGGTATTTAAATTTACAACAAAAAAAAAAACATTTCTACTAGGTTCTCGATTTTACCCAAAAAATTGGTTTGATTAATATTAGAATTAGGTAGTCTTGTTATTGCTCGTTTTGACCATTTATAATGTTTAACTCAATTTCAAAACATTTACCCACTCGCAACGGCCCAAAATCAAGTATGGTAAATAATTTTAAAAAAATTAAAAAGGTTTTATTAGATTTACAGTCACAGTTGAGCATAAAATTAGAATAATTTTTCATCCGGACGAAGCGATAAATGAAAAATGAACGTTTATCGTCGATTTGACGATCAAATTTTACAATTTTAAGTATTCCAATAAATCACTTAAAGTTGTATATACTTGTAAATTCAATTATTAGAAGAACAAAATACATATTTAGAATGCGAATAAATGAAAAAATAAATTAGTTTGTAATATTTACCAAAGCCAAAATAATTATTATAAAAATCCCAATTTAACAAATTGCATTATTTATAGCAATTTATTATTAATTATTATTATTTATCAGCAATTTTTTATTGTGTTTTTCAATTTAAAAACTACGTAAAGGTTGACTCTCTCTTTAGCGGCCGCTATGCGATACCACCGATCTGTTAGTACGGCTTTCACTTACCGGCGACAAACCGCCGTTTGATCAACGATACTCTGTAACCCGTGCCGGCCAGTTCGAACTCTACGCCCGACAACGTGGTCCCCTCGCAGTTGAACTGAGTGTTGATCGTGGACACCGAGGACACCGCTCCGACTTCGAATCTGGCTTTCAACGAACCCGAACCTTGGTTGTCCGAGTGCTGCGACAGTTCCGCAAACTTCCAAACGGCAGTGTTCGTATCGGCTTGCCTGTGACGACAAAACGACGACAATGCGTTACGCTACGCTACGACGGGCATAGATTTAAAAAAAACAAACAAAATAAAATTCATCCGACACTGACCACTGGGCCGGCGGCTTGGACTGCATGTTCTGAATGGACGAGTTCAGCGTAGCCGACACGGATACGTTGACCAAAGGAGTGGCCATGCTCATCGAATGGCTGTTGTACTTGTAGTCGATTTTCAGATCCGTGTGGGTGCCGCTGCATTTGTAGAACGACACCAATTGAAACGGACACGAAGCCGCCGCCGTGTTACGAGGTTTTATCTGAAACGAGAACCAACACAAACGTTAGCGACCACATAAATTCTCAACGACACACGTTTTGTAAATGGACAAAAAAAAAAATATTCAAAAAATTGTAGTCTAACAATTTTCAAGTATTTGAAAATGTCAATTTTTTAATAATCTCTATTTTAAATTGTGTTCGACGATATCTTTACGCGACACACACAAACTTTGCGATACTCACTTGATACTTGAGTATGTCGACGTTGAAGTAAGACGCTACTGGATTTTGTTCGAACTGCTTACGCAACAACAACGTCAACGCCGGCATGTTGAATTCGTAGACGATCGAATCGCTAAACGCAGCGGCATTGTCACTGTGTCGAAAAAAAAAAAATAAATAAATTCACAAACGTCGTTAGTATTTATAGTTTTGGTAAACATACTCGACAAAATTCATGCCGTCAAGTTCAACCATACATAATACATATACAGGGTGATCCAACTGATTCAAGACACTCGTTTTCTAGAAAAACATGTTTTACCATATTGTCTTTACAAGTTACATCTAGCTGATGGATCACCCTGTATACAAATGTTCCATGGACTTACAAGAAAACCAATTGTTTGTTCGGAAGCAGGTTTTCCACTCGAGCGGTGTTCTTTAGACGGAACGTCAATTTGGCGGGGTTCGGATTGTTTGCCAGCACGTTGACGATGCCCGCCGGGAAAGACACCATCATGTCTCCGAACATTTTCACTTGGCACCTGTAATGATGAAAAACAATGTTTTAGCCACAACAAATGGTTAGGTGCCCGACGTGAGCCGTCGGGTTTCGCACTAGCCTGGACTCGTTGGATCCTTTGAAATAGGCGTGGATGATCTCGTGGAATGCGACGGCCAACGGGAACGTATCGGACAAACCGATCGTTAGCGGCGACGGTCCTCTCGACGGTCCGACCACTCCGGAAGACCTGAACTCGAGGCTCGACAGGCTGTCCGTGCGGCCGATGCTTATCGGACTCAATTGGCCGCGTGGCCCGGCGTTCTACACGGACAACCATAAGGGTAAACAATGTTACACGGTCGGTTAATTTTCAGCACGACCGAATAATAATAATAATAATAATAATAATAATAATAATGGCGTACTTCTCGCCTTGACGGAGGACGAGGGATGGAGATGGATCCCGCGGGGGTAGTAGAAGGAGGCGACTGTTTGACTTGCGCTGGCTGCTGTTGTATGTCGCCGACTTCGAAGAACAAATCGCCCAGATCTAACACGATGGACAAAATACAATATTAGTCATTGTAGACATTAAAAATTATATTAAATTTGATATCTTGTTTTATGCAAAAAATATAATATTTTATTTTGCAAAATTGGTACACATAGTTACGACAAATTATTACTTACCGGCTGCGTATCTGGACGTAACGGCAGGGTAAGCGTTGGGCGGTGAAATAGATTTGTTTGTCAGCGACAACGTCGGGCTGGTCAAAGAACTGTACTGCTGCTGTTGGATCGGATTGGGCGAGCTGGCGGCCGATTGAAACAGATTCAGACCGATCAGATCGTTGCTTATTTTTCTGAAACGCAACAAATAATAAAATTATGATTACCGGCTGCACGGAGAATGCAAAATACACTTACAAATACACTCTTAAGACATTGTTTCCTTAAATCTAACTTAATTTTAAAAAAAAAAAAGGTACTTTACACACAAATAACCCGGGGCGCTGTCTGACGGATGCAAAAACGTCGACGGTAATAACTACGCAACAAAATCATTAAGAAAAACCATATTAAAGACGATAAATGGTGTTTCCGAGTTTCTCGTAGTACCGATTTATTATATAAAATTTCTTTTAATAGCCTAAAAAAAAAACAAACAAACCTATACAGCGTTTTACATTGTACTCGTGAGACGTTTCCTTTTTTTGGAGGGTACGCTCGGAAAAATTGGAGGGAACTGCACCAGGAGCTCATGCGGTTGTATTGTGTGTCATAGCTATTGCTCTCCTTTTTCGCCGGGACGACCGGGGCAAAGGCTACAGTTCATGCGATCCTGGTACCCGAGTTATCCGAAAGGCGACGTTTTCGACGTGCCTTCCCCTTTGGGGCAAACACACCGAGCTCGTTTTATGAATGAAAAGGCGACGGCACCCTTCGCGGTAAGACGCCGCCGGTACCAGGGGCACATGAGACAAGACACCGTCGCGGTCAAAGGCTTGCCGGCATAAACAATCCCGTTCAAAATCCTCTTTTTTTTTTTTTTTTATAAACGATGAATTATGAACGCTCTTAAGAGGGCGCCGCACCGGTGATTTTCAATGGATTTTTTAAAAAAAAAATTAATTTTTTGGAAAGTTACAGTCATTTAAAAATGTTAAAATAGTCGTTTTTTCTTAACTATGTATTGAGCGTTAAAACTTAGAATAATGATAAAAACGCACCGCCGTCGTGCCCTACAAAATATTGTTCTCTTTTAATTTTTTTTAATGAATGCTTTTACTCTAAATCCATAATCAAGCGAGTTATTTTCAGTCTGCTTAAACAAGACACAGTCTGCTGTGATAGTCCAAAAATAAATTTACTACCAAAATAGAGTCCTAGTCATAGAACTAATAATCAAATCACATCACAGTTTAACCTTTGAATTAAGATTTTGTAAAAAATTGCCTATACTTTACTCCTTAAAAATGGGCGGTGCGACGCCCTCTTAAACATCACCCTTGAGTTGTATACACGGTCAGAAAGGCTCATCGAAAGGTTATCGAGCAAAACCCACAGTAAGGCCTACAATATTTATATGACATTCACGAGGGTCCACAAGTCCCGACCAATTGTTATTAGCATATTATTCATGAAAATAAATGTTTATATTTTCAAATAGGGCATATATCAACGTTTTACACTTAAAAATATTGATTACATAAGGTCTTCTAAGGTCGACAGTAAAAAATGTAATTTTTTTAATTAAAATTGAAATTAAAAAAAAAAACCATTAAACGTGCACGATGAAAACAATAAAACATAATATTGTATTTTTATGTAAGACATAAAAAGGAGTGTGTTATAAGTAGCTTTGGGCCTATTTTTGTAAACAGGAATTTCATTGCCCACCTGTTTTTTTGACTACATACTGAAATAATTATGAAAAAATAACTATGTAAAACTTTTTTAATAATTTGAGGGCACTCAAAGGTATTTACCCCACTTTGGTAAAAATAGTAATGGGGGGGGGATAACTTTTGAAGCTAACCAGTTTTGGATAGTTACTTTTGAAGTTTATTATTTTTTCCCAAAAACTCAGATCCAAAAGTGGTTATCGACCATTTAAAATGTCCGGCAAATAAGCGAAGGAGACACAAGGCGGTCTTCGTCTGTCCACATAATTTGTCTACCTATTGATTTGAGTCCAATTAAAATAGTAGTTTTTGAGCAAAACTGAGAAAATTTTGGTTTTTTACAATAGCGGTTTTTTTTTTAACTAAAAGGTAGTACTTTATAAGGCCAAACAATGAAAAAGTTCGGACCTTCATTATATTTATACCTAATCATTAATGAATAGCAATATAAAAATGTTTTTAAAAAAATATTATAAACCCTTTTGCCTAGAAGGGGTAGAATCGTTCCCCCTTCAAAATGAAAAAACACCCCAATAATTTTCCTTTTTTTTCAAACTTAAAACTTTTTTAACGTCAGTAGAATTATTTACAAATTGGAATGGAATATTCTCTTTCTCAGTTATAGTACAAGTTAAATAAAAATATAATATAAACCTAACCTAACCTCCCAGAAGGGGTGAACACTTTTTCTTTATTTCTCTTTTTCGAGCAAAATACTAGGTCTTAAGGTCAATTTTTTTACAAAACTGTATTCAAACTTTTTTTTTTTTTATTAAGGAAAACTCCCCCCCAAAAAAAAATAAACATTACATTAAATGTTTAGCTATTTTCATTAGGTACACGTTCAGACAGCCACTACTATTGATGCCACTTATTGCATAATAACTACACTGCTGGTTATTCGACTACCTTTAAGTGTTCATAATCGATACGCCCAACAGATGTTGTGTAAAACATTGAAAAACAAAAACAATTTAACATTTAATAGTTCCTAAATTAAAAAAAAATATGTTAATATTAAATAAGTTAATATCTAAATATGTAATTGGACAAAAAAATAGCGATTATCACTTGCGCACACTGGTGTATATCCATTGCGTGTATGTTCTAATAAATACTGCACACCAATGAATATACAACGGTATGCACAAGAAGTTCGTACTTGTCGAGGTGTGGCCAAATACATATACTAATTATATATATATATATATATACCTATTCGTAATTATACTAATTATACATAATATTCTAATTATATACTTAATAATAACATTTTAAGTACAATATATTATGTAAAGTACTTTTCTGTTACGATTTCTGGTATACAGACTTGCTTAGACACACAAAAAAAAAATTATAATAATTAAAAACAATTTTTGTATAAAACAATTAACAAAACAATAGCGATAAACACTTGCGCACACTGGTGCAAAACCATATAAAGTATGTTCTAATATAATACACTACATTTATATGGCTTTAGACCAGTACGCACAAGGTTGACGGGGTGAGCTCAAGACTCAAGTTTTTTCTCAATCATTATTGACAAGTTCTTCCAGACATACATTTTAATTTCAATCGGTATGACCGTACAATAATTGTAGACAACCATTTAATAAAGTCAGGGCATTTAAAAATTTGTCTGTAATTGACTTTTTATGGTAAATTCTAAAAAAACTACACTAATATAACACTCACACTGAATTCAGCTGTTGTGAAACCGATTTTGAACGTTTCATGGTGCCGTCGTCGTGAGCCGAACCGCGTCGATTCTGAAACAGAGAAAACCACATTAAATTTAAACATATATGGTTAAAATAAACAAGAAATAATATACAAATTTGGATGATAAATAATTTTAAAACTTTTTTTTGTTTTGAAAACATTTTGTTTAAATTAATTTAAAAAATAATTCATTGTAATTCAATCAATTTTTCTCTCTTTAAACTTTTATTAAAATGAAAATGTTAGGAAAATAAAAAATTATAATTATAAGTATTTGACTGAGATAATTAATGTCTTAGATTGATCGTTTGTATAAAATAAATGAATTAAAACAAATAAAATATATTATGTATCAGGTACCCTTAATGTGTGTGTTCCCAATGGCATCAAAGATATGTTTTCGACGGTCGCTCTTAGTTCATCGACACTAGCGCTTATCGGAGCCGAACCGTTGCTCAGCGGTTTGATTTCAACGTGTAGCCTTTTCTCTCTCTCGTCGTCTGCAAAGGCCGGCAAAAAAGAGAAAAAAAATACATCATTATTATTAATATAAAATTTGGTATAAAACATTTCTTTTAAAAAAAAAAATTATATTAACCGGAATCAGAATCGGTAGAATCAAAGCTTCTCTTGTCCACATTCCATTGACTCGACGGCTGAATACGATACCCTTCTTCGTCAATTTCGGGCGTAGAGTTTTTCGACTGGTCTTGTTCCTCTTTTTCATCGCTAAAATAAATAGTAAACATATTTTATATTAAAAGTGTATCCCGAAAAAAAAAAAAGACACAAAAGCAGTCAATCAAAAATATTACAGCGACGCATAATACTCACTCTGACTTATTATCTTCTTTGCTGCTCGCTATTATTTCACCGGAATCCTTTTTCTTTTTGGTTTTCTTCTCTTTGCGCTTGTCGCGTCTACTCCTTAAAAACCCTGAACACACACACACAATGTATTATTTAACGCATTACTATCGGACCAGCCGACAAGCGTTTGATACAAAGAGATGACGATAACAGCTATTGGGAAGATTTGTTGGGATGACCAAACTGTGATTTTTTTTTTTTGGGGGGGGGGGGCTGAGGGTCAGTCGATCCTTGTTCAAAATTTCAAAACTCATAGTGTATGTTAACAGAAAAATCGAACCACGACCAATCACTTTTTGCCGCCAATATCTGACCGCTATAAAATATCAATCGTTCTCTCTTTGTATACGGCACGCACAGCATAGCAAACAAACAAATAAAAAAAAAATTTAACAACGCCAATACAACGTTATGTAAATGTATTAACTGTGGGAACAGTGACATGCAACTAAATAAAGTAAAATAAATTATTATTTAGATAATTAGTAATAAATACATTTTTTTTTTTTCAAAAAATTAAAAAAAAACAATAACAATCATTAAAAAAAAAAAAAAAAACAATATGATATCAGCAACGACAATAAGCAGTTCAAAGGATTTACAAGGATATAAAAAAAAATAAAAATAATAAAAAGGATGACTGGGGTGTGAGCGTATGTGTTTTGTATATAGTAGTTACCTCTAAATTTGGCTACCTTGATTGCCGACAACTTAGCAATAATAATAATAATAATAATAACATATGTATAATGCTGTTATGCTACCATGATATTATTTTGTTTGTGATGAGTGAAATGTAAAAAAAAATAAAAATGCTAAATATGTAACAATAACAACAGCTGCTGTGAACACTTTATTATCTAAACTAGCTACCGCAAGACTAACAATTAATATTATACACACCGTTAACGTTTACGTTAAACGACAGCGACTTAAAACCCAGAATTTTAAATTAAAAATTTAGTATAAAAAATAAAATATAAAATATAGTATAAATATATATATATACACACACAGAGACCAAAGAGCCGACAAGGAGATCGCCGTCGTGTTCATGCTGTTATTAGGTTTAAGCCGTCCTCTAAACATCATGTTATTGTTTTTGAAAAGCAAACTGCGATGCCACGACGCAAAGCGAAAAAAAATTGTTAATTTAACGATGAATGATATTAGTAAGCGGCAACTTATACTACATGGTTGAAGCGATAAATTCTAAAATTATCTTTTATTTAATCTTTCAACATTCCATTATTTACAATACAACTATTTGTTATATAAAATTAATCGGTCATATTATTATGCAAGAATAACTTTTTTTTTTATTTCTTATTAATTATTTAAATACTTTTTTTTAAACATCTATCGTTAAAAAAAAAATGTTTCTAAGTTCACCTAAATTTTGGCCAACACAAAAATATAATTTTTTTTTTTCATTTATTTACTTTATATGGTTTTAAAATTAATTATAACGCAAAATCAAATTAAACCGTGTCCAATTAAATGTTTGAATTGTTCATGTGCCCTGGCACTTGAGTCGGAGACGCATCTTAACTACGATTGTATAATTACGACACTGAGATAAACATATTTTATTGTTTAATTATGTCACAAGCTTTTCATGTTACTATTTTCCCAAGCAATAGCCCATTTCAAAACTCAGACAACTCAAAAAAAAAAAACACACTTGTAATTGTTTTTTAAGCTGGCCTATTTTCAATTAAACATAACAATTTTTTGAGTAATTGAAGTTTTCAACTGTAGCCGGGTTACAATAGTTAATGTCTTATACCAGTAAATAATATTACACAATGTTGTTCCCAGAACTTAAAGCATTCATATGTACTCAGTTATTTGGCGCGAAATGAAAAATAATAAAGCGATTGTTTACTAAATAAAATGTTACTGAAAACAAGTTAACAGGAAAAAAAATGAATAATGTGAATTATATGAATCAATAATTGAATCTATGTTTGTTATGAAATCAAATTTCTATGGTTTAAACCGGTTAAAGTTAACACAATCGAAATGAGATTAATTTTATTAAATATAAACTTTTTTTTTAAATCGCCACTTGTTAATAAAAACGCTGGAATTGTACATAATATCACCGTTATTATAATATGTTATGATATTTGAGCGAATGAAATGTACCGAATAAATTACAGGAATTTTTTTTGTGCGAATTACCAAAATCAATTAATATAACAATTGTCGGTAACTCGCAGCAGAATGTATAAAGGAAAAATGCAAAAAAAAAAAACAAAAAAAAATGCGGCCATGCAAAACAACGACGGTGACAATGCACTTGCAAAGGATCGGTTAAAAAAAAAAAAATTTAAATAATTAAAATTACATTTTGATCCACGAACAGAACCCTGAGGAAGCGAACAGGTCGAGTGATCAGCGCTCAGACTGATAGTTCTGTTTGATTTCGATAAAGCACCTGTAACACAGCTTTTACTTAAAATAAAAAAAACACAAAAAGCATAATGAAAAAAAAAAAAATTAAAATTAAAAACCATAGTAACAAAAACAACACAAGCAATCGTGAAATTGTTTCTTCTAATATTATTCTTCAATTATTGGTTTATAGCGAGAACACCACTCGTAGTCTGCTGAATATAGTGTACGTATAAGTTAACGTAACATAGTCGACGATCAGCACTGAAGATACGTACATGTTATGTGTATTATTTTTTGCGGATTGGGTTACATTTTCATCCTAAGTCAGTTTATATTGGTTTAGTGAGAAGGGCCTATTGCATTAAAACGGTGAGTTTGTTAGCGTAATGCTTTGTTTGTCCACATCTAGATACACTTGTAAATTAGTCGGTTAAACATTCGGGCCCACATTTCTTGTATAAAAATAAAAAAGCTGATACCATCGAAATACATCCTTCGAGTTTTGACAACGCGTTAGAACATTTGACGTATCGACAAACGTTGGGTTTGCCAATACGCCGGTAATTTACGTTATTAGAAAAATAGTTTATTTATGTTTAATATTGTTAAACAACTCTGTTAGTAACAATAATATTATTAATATTACTATAGCACACAACATACAAGCGTAATAGTATATAAGATAAATATTATGTGCACCGTATAAAAACAAACGTAATAGTTTACAGCATGTTTACCGACCGAGTCCTGACAGTCGAGAGGGAGACGGGGAAAATATTTACCGTCGACGGTAACGATTATGACGTATCCAGGGTGGGTAAACATTTGAAACAAAAAGCTCCCCAAGCGTAATATTTTATACGTATATACACGAGTATGTGTTTAGGTAATTTAACTTTACCAAAGCATTACCGGGTTCGAAAATTCATTTACGGTGATACGCTAAAGAGATTAAAAGAAAGGTAAATGTTTACGTACCATAAAACGGCGACATAGCACCCTAAATAAACATGAAATTTTATAACCGTACAGCAAACGTTTGCTATTAAAGCCTAGAAAAAGTTTTCAGTGCACAGATACTCTATCGAGTATCAAACTAATACAGGGAATAATGTAAACCTTCAATATTTATCCTTTGCAGATTAATCCTTTGATTTTAAAACATGGTTGCCGTACGTAAAACGCCAATGTGGGTAAACGTCGACGAGTATTATAGATTTAACGAACAAAGCTGATGCCGAAAACAACGTACTCCTACGCGTCGACACAATCGTTTTATGGGTTTCTCAATTGTCAAAAAGCGACTAAATAATGATATGTTCAACATTACCGATTGCTGGTACAGTGCAGATAAAATTCTACTAGCGGTTCCGGTAGGCCAATTTTGTGTGAGGTCGGTACAACTATATCGTTTAATGAACATACCGTGGGAGTTGGAGATGAAGATATTGAGTAAGGATGTTGCTCTGGAGGACTGGTAATTGGTTGCGTCGTTCTTGTCCCTTACGCGGCAATTACCTTCACGTTTCGCCGTCGAAGGCTTTTCGGACGACACGCTGGTCGCACTGGGGTTTTGCGAAATGTTCGTCAACACCGGCGAGTTGGTTCCCTGGACGGACCTGGAATCGCTGGACGAGTCCGGAATCTGATTCAGACTGCTGGACGTACTGTTCATGCAGACTTCTTCAAACTCGATGATTTCTAAAGCACACACAAAGCAAACACAATAAAATATCTTGTGCTACAGTAGATGAAAATCAATGCGACAACACCTGGTTTTTCTAATCCAGTATATTTGCTCAGAACAAACTGCTCCAACAGTTTGTCCACGGTCAATTCTAAACACTGTTTCTTAAACTCAACGTGGACCTAAGAAATAATAAAATAATTGTTAACATACGTATAAAGTTTAAATATAAATATATATATATATGAACTGGGCAATTAGTATTTAATTTTTTTTACACGACTATTTTTTTTAGTTGAAATAACTCTCTCATTTATGTTTTAAATTATTTGAAATAACGTATAGCATAGTTTTATGTTATAATATTTTATTAGAATACATTTTTTTTGTTACTTTTCAAATAACTTTTTTTAATTCGTTTTCAAAATGAAAACTTGTTTGACTCTAAATGCATAATTATTTCCAAAGTAGGCCATTCAATTTTATAACTAACAAGGTGTCTGACCTTGAATCGCATAGTTTTTTATAATGATATTTGAACATAGATAAAACAATATGGCGATATTTTAAAATAATCATAACTCATTAGAAATAACTCCGAAAGATCTGGGTTACATGATTTTTTTTTAAATAGTAGTCATTTTACATGAGTAAAAAAAAAAAACCAATAGTAAAAAAAATGTATATTTTTAGTATGGCAAAATGTATAATCTTTAATCACACTAAAATGAATAACAAGTAATACATTGTACTATTATTATGTAAAATTTCCAAACAAACATTTCAAAATGTAAACATGTTTTAACAAATGTTCTCTTGGAACGTTTACCAATTGAATATTATTTAATATTATATAAATACAATACGACCCAATTGTATTTAAATTTAAAAAAAAACTATTTGAGTTAATAACTTACATTTTTTTTATTTTTTGTTAGTTGAGTTTTTAATTGAATACCTACATTTTTTTTAAAAATTATTTTTATTTTTATTTCATTAAAAATGCATTTAAATATAATGCCTAGATCTGCTCAGAAGTAACATTGATCGACCTACCTTTCCGATTTCATCGTGATTTGTTTCCAACAGCTCAGTGTACAAGCTGAGAAAGTCTTTCATTTGTTTTAAATGTAATTCTTCGACCTCTTGGAAAACCTACATTGGACAATTGGATACAAGTAAGAAACGTTTTTGAAAAAAATTCAAATGCGGAAAACGTAACCACAATTTTTTGGGAAATAAAATAAATACAGAGCCAACGCTTACCTTACAAGCTAATGTCATTTTTTTTTCAAATTCGTCTTTCACAGCGCTATATTTTTCAACTAGGACTTTGTAATCGTCCTGAGCTTTTTTTAATTTGGTTTCGGCCTTTTCGATGTCTCTAGCCGACGCATTATCTTTTCTGAGTTTATCCAACTCGCCTCCTTTCTGCACGTACACGTCTTTGGCTTTTTGCAAAGCCAACGTTGTCGACTGGATAACCTGTACGGCTTCTAGCGTACTGCTTTGTTCTTCTTTAACCTGAACACGAGACGACAATTGTTCTAAGTCATATATTATTCAGTAAAAACAAGCTAACTAAATAAATCGAGTACGAAATATTATGTAATTGACAATAAGCAATAATATTGTCGTCTGACCCAATCAAACGTGGCCGTCGCTACGAGACCGACCGGAAGGACTTACATTTTTGTGTTTTTTATGCAGTTCGTCTGTATATTTGGTTACGTCTTTGACTAGTTCGCAGACTTTGTGCACCATCTGCAAATGCAACGTGGTGAGTTTTTCTATGGACACTCGAAGCAACTGCCACAGAGGACTGAACGTTCCAGTCGTTGTGGTGCTGCCCGTTTGTTTCGCCAACTTTGCAAGTAATTTCGAACATGTCTCTTCAATATTGGTTCTAAAGAAAACCAAACAAAAAATTACACCAGCATTATGTGCTACAAGCTGTTATGCTCGTTGTAATGTTTACACGCATTTTTTTTTTTTTTTTTTTATTTACCTTTCACGTAAAAAGTCTGATAGTTCCTTGCTAGCCACCAAACCATATTTCATATTATGGTACAGAACGTCAAAGCCATTATTTTTTTCTCCCTATAAAAATACAAACACAAATATATACTTGAGTATTAAACCTAAATAGGTAATAATTATTATTATTTTTATTTTAAATATAATTCATTTTTGCCTTGTAATACATCAGACACTCAACATATTAACATCCTTCATATTATATTAATCCATTCATTATAAAAATATCAGGTATAGTAAATTGTCAATTGCTTCTAAAAGTTAAGTAGCAATACAGTAAGTATACCTTATGTAATACTAATAATACATAAGAGGACGCTACACCGCCCATTTTTAAGGAGTAAATATTATTAAAATAATAGAAATATAATACAAACAATAATAATACAGATAAATATTTTGAAGGAAAATGTTTCTAAAAATTAATTTATGTCTTGTTAAAAAGTTTTTCTGCAGGCAATACCATTACAAACAGGGTCTCTTAGTAATTTTAACAGACTTCAATTTAAGTTCAACGTACACACTGACATTATTTTAAAGTGCAGTAGTAATATAAAACAAGCAATTGACTGAACGAATAAGAAATAATTAACATGAGAAATATATGTAGGTACAAATATTAAGATATTATAAAATAAAATATAGGCATAATATATATTTTAATATTAAGATATTATAACATAAAATATAGGCATAATGTATATTTTATTAGTCTTAAGTAATCTGGAAATTCTTTAGTTCAATTATAATTTATAAATAATTGAGCTTTTTTTTTTTAAAGAGAGTTGGGCTAGTTTACAAGTTGAAGGCGAGAGGATTGGAATGGCCCTATGGATTATAGACTACAATTAACTCAAGTATGCTCGTTTTTACTCCTGTCCTATGCCAAAGATATGCATTGGAGAGTTTAGTAAACCATTTGAATTTTTAATAAAACAATTTATATAATATTAAGTATTTAGCAAAAATAGGTGACCTTTATTTTACAAAATAATTCTTACATTAAATAATCATAGTTAATAATTAGTTTATTGTTTAAAAATTCAAATATTTTTAGTTGTACATAGCAATATATTATTGTTTGATTTTCTTTGAAAAATTTTCAAATAAATAAAATATTGTTGACAAGATAAGTGGACAAACAATTCCATATTTTTTTTTTTTTCAAAATATTAAGTACTTATAAAATATTGTAGGATAAAAACTATCAAGTTACGTAGTGTTGAAATATAAAAAAATTGGGTGCACGAATACAGTAAAATATAAATATACAGTTTGGACAAAAAAAAACATTTAAAATATAGCCTGCATACACGATAACGGGCAGTTTAGCGTTATTAAAGCCATATTTTAGGTGGTCGAAAAAAAGAAGGAAAAAAACCTGTTATTACCACGAACCGGGTCAAACAAATTGATATTGATTAACGCCAATTAAGGTCGAATGAAACAATTATTTCGCTTGTACAGTATGGTATTACCGTGCGGAGGTAATAATAACCGATCGACGACAAGGTTGCCCATTATGATAATTACAGTTCGGGTAGGTGTGAAGGGCCATAATTACAATCAAGAAATGCAACGAAAATTACCGCTCGGACACTGACCGGCAGCAATCATCTTGGTGCGTGCGTTTAGTGTCAAATCACAGACAATAAGACACACACACACGAATCATAATACGCCTAATAACATGATAATAACAAAAATAAAATATTATTATAGTTACCCAAAAGTAATCGCAAAAATCCACAGTCATGTTGATTGTCGACGGTACCGACCGTGGTCATTCCAAAACGCAACGAGCAAAAAAAAAAAAATAGAAAAGAGTCTCCAAAAAACTTGGGATTTGAGTGCGCGTGTGAGTTAAAACTAATAAACCAAAATCTAGCAACCGACTTTTGGAAATCCTACTGCGAAACCAGCGTTTGTCAACCAACAAATTCGTCGTCGTCGTCGTTGCTGTATAATATAAATATTATAAAATATTATACGTTACATATTATTTTATATTTTATTATTGTATAATATACAACAACAACAAGAACACGGCCGACGTTCGGTGCAAAGTGAATAATAATAAAAAAAAAAACCAACCGAACGGTCGCTGATAAAAAAAAAAAGGTGCGCTAAAGGCGAGGCGAGCTGACTGTGTGGTGCTGACTGATTAAAAACGATATCACTTCGGTGGTGTGCACGGTGTACGCCCACGCCACCCGTCCCCCGTCCGCCCTACCGCCCCGCCCTTCCGCTCTACCCCGGTGGTCCACCGGTGGCCTCCGAAACATCCGCCGCCGCTACGCCCGTCGTTCATGGAAGAAGAGACCGTGCGCGGTGACCGCGTCTCGAAAACGCGACAGGTAACCCGGTAACGCGGCGTGGAACGCGCGGACAAAATGGTCGCCCGCGGCAAACCCACAGGCAACCGTGATAACGGTCGTGATAACACGAGTGGCGCCGACACACCTTGGGTTCGGTTTGTTGTGTAATTGTTTTGAAATCGACGCGCCTATTTTATAATGTTCAAAACCGGCGGCCGAAAACGGTAATAATAATTGAACATGTTATTACTGTTAATATCAACTTTATTCTCCTACATAATTTATAATATTATTTTATTATTACAACGTTTTGCGAGGTATAAGTAAAACGCTCGCCAAGTCGGCATCGGCGTGTAGACTTTATTTTATTTATCTTAATTAATACAAAAAGTATAAACATTTGTGAATAAGCTCTATCAGATAAGTTCTGAAACTCTTCACTTCACTTCCACACTCCGAGGTGATTTTTATTAAGACCCTAAACAACAAAATCCATCAATCCAGTACCTATCCATTAATGGCTCTGCGTGGCTAAAGAAAAATCTAGCTAAGACTGACAATTTATTTTATTCATATTTGGTATCTACTTTGTCAGTTCTTTTGCTAGTGAACTTAGAATCAACTTTCCATCTCTTATATTTTAAGAGAAAAAATTAATGATCATAGCATTTTGATTAATATTACACGGGCTGGATAATTGTTGTTTATAATAATATTATACTTGCTTGGGATACTAAAAAACCCTTAAAACTTAATAAATTAGTGCTAAATCTTTTTTTTTTGTCAGTTACGTTGATAGCTAATGGGCTAAAGTAAATAATTATCATGTACAGAATTTTTTTTTGGGTAATCAATTTTTTTTTTTTGACAAAAAAAGTGTCTTTTATTGTCGAACCGTGATGTTGACATGTGGCATGTGTTAACTTCAGTATACAAACTAGAAACCGCAATAACTGATTATAATAATCTCATTTTTTTATTAAATTTTTTATGTCTATTAACGTTGCTAAACATACAATAATAGCCATTACAATTGTGTTTAAAAAGCAATTTGCCAATGCCACCACCTTGAACGATTATTTTCATTAAAAATTTTAATCATTCTCAACAAAGTATGAGTTATCAGACGAACACAATAGAATTAATTTATTGTCATCCATTAAAAACCAAAAATATAATGTAAATATTATTAAAAACACTATTTTATATATATTTTTTTTTAATAGAGACCGGTACATTACTTGTAATGCGATTCTTGTATATTACTAATTATATTTCTCACTTTCGTATTAATCTAATAATACCTAAGCAATTAAATAATTCAATATTAATAATTTAAATATATTGTAACAATAATAATAAATACAAACATTGGACCATCAAAAATAGTAGACATTTTTTCTGGTTTTTCGGTCTAAATCGTCAAAACAACAGACCGCATGCCAACCCCTTAATGTATGATATAAATAATTTTTTAGAGTTTTATATTGTTGATTTATATATTTTGGTAATTTTTTCAGTATCAGATAGAAGTAATAAGTTATTTTTTAAATTTTAAATATTTTCACGAACCTACACCGGCAGTACTTGATTTGGGGGGGGGGGGGCTGATTACCTCAATTAATTTTTTTGGATATTCTAGTGTACCCCTACTTAAGCTTACCTGTTTTTATAAAATTGTTCAACTCAAATAAATAAAGGGGCAGATCGACCCATGTACATAAATATTAACTTAAGTTCAAGTGAGGACTGAAAATCTATGCATATGGTGTGTGTAAAAAATGAAACAGTATTTTTTTTAAGTTAAGTAAAATCGGCAATAAAGTGGTATTACATTTTGTGTCAAACATGTCCCAAACTATTAAAACTTTCGGCCTAAAACCTGAATTGTCACATTTTGATTTTTTCCACTCCTTGGTTTTAAAGTAATACAACTTCATTTTCACCACCACCAAGTGTTGAAATAAATCATACACAATACTGTGTAGTAATACTGTGTAGGTAATCTGATCAAATTTTCAGGATGACCCATATTTGTATTATAAATAAAAAATAAACTTGTTTTATAATTGTTAACACTATAATATATATATTTATATTGTAATATTTTTACATATAATATTGAGAAAAAGACGAATTTTGGCTAACTAACTAACCTTATACAATAATCGAATAATTGGATAACATAATATTCCATACATAGAGGTCATTAACACGTTCTCAGAGTTTGCCATTTGTAGTCTCTTGTAAGACAGCAGCTACTAGTCTGTTTCGTCCATCAGCCTGGAAAACAATACACAATAGTTACTAAACTTAACATGTTTCATATTTTCCTAAAGTACCGGTTGAAGTGTAGGCGTAGACAATTTTAAATATTTATCTTAATAGTTTTGAAATCCGTTCAAGGTGATTCTAATAAGACCCTAAACAACACAATGTGTTAATATCTGTTTCAAAGCTCTGTGTGTCTAAATAAAAATCCAGCTAAAATTAACAATTTTTTCAATTCATATTTTGTATCTTCTTGACAAGCTCTCAGCTAGTGATCTGAAAATCGACTTTCAATCACTTAACAGTTTAAAAGAAAATTGAAAATGAAATATCAAAATAGATTCCTTTTGTTTTTTTTATTAACATATTATATTATGTTTAAGCATATTTTTATCTTACTGTTAAGTTTAGTGAAAAATTGCCTATACAACGCGCCTTAATAAACGCTAGTGTAGGGACCTCATTTTACTAGTTAATTATTTTTTAAGATAAAAACTAGTTTCAACTATAGTAATAAACATGTTGTTTTAAATGTACTCACTCGATCGATTCTTTATAACTGAACACAAGACAATAAAAAAAATACAATGATTGAAACGTTTCATAGAAAAATATTGCACATTATTCTTATATTAGTGTTAAACAAATAAAAATGCGTAGCGACTAGCAGTAAAATAAAATATAAATATAGCCATCTAGTAGAAACATACTTATTAACACTTTGACTGCCAGTGATGCACAGGTTTTGTAATTTAGAAGAGGTTCTATGTAAATATAATTACAAACGAGGTATGCTAAATACACCTAGGCCGATACTTATATTTGTTGATGTGTCTAAATTCTAAACATAAGATCCGACACCAATTTTACTCTATTTTTGTAGTTAAATTTGAATACCACAAAAATCCGGTTTATCGTGTGTGCATTATTAATAATAATTATAATTGATTGGATCTACGCATTAAAGGTCATGTTTTATACAGGTACTACTTTTCGACAAGTACGTAGTAAAACAAATAAAAAAAGAGTAAGTACATCCAAGTAAAAAGTTGGAAATGCTACAACGTTATTACAACGCTAACAATGGTTAATAATAATAATATATGTTCGAGAAAAGCTGTTTAATTAAAATAACATCATTTAGTGTGTAAGAAAGGTTGGGGAACAACTTTTATTTAATTACCCGATAATTTAAAACAATTTAGTCCCTTTTCTTCTTCATATTTGCACTCGTTACCAAAAATGAAAATTAACATTTCCCCATTGATCGTAAGTAGTTTATAAATCGATAGTATTCTATGAATTCATTTACAGTCAAAATCTTAGTCGAATGTTGCAGTTTACAAAAAAAATTGAAATTATATATTTACTATAATTAACGAGTAAATAAAATTCATACAAAAAAAAAAATGTATTGTACAAAAATATTGGAGAAAAAAAACATATAATTTGATGAACAAATATTAGTGAGAAAAAAAAAATCCTAATGTTATAACTTATCTAATAAATTCTTAAAAATGTCTAGAAAAGCGTGTCTCCCAATAGTGAAAATATAGTATTATGGAAATTTAACTTAACTAGACTAGACATTATTTACAAATAAGTAATAATAAAATATAAAAACGTATTAAGTCTCATGGCTTGGACCGATTAGGAATTAAGTAACACAAAATAAAGTTAGTAAAAAATTGAACAGCAGCGTTTCTTATTTTGTCGAGACGGCATTTTTCATATGCAGTACGTTCAAACGTGCGATGTAACAGCGCTTGTAGAGACGTTGACTGGCGGCAAGTAGAACGATCGTATCTGGCGGTGTAAATCGGCCACAACTCTGTCGTCTTTTTCGAACGCGACGACACTTCTGGTGAACGTGATTATACCTAAACGACATTAAAAATGTTATAGGTACAGCAAAACAAACACTTTACGTGACTTAATTGACAAAAGAAGCTCTGCTTTATTGGGGAGACGTTATAAATTATAAACGACAATGTAATTAACGCAATATCATCAGCTAAGTGGTATATTATCTGATTTGGTTATAATTACTCTACCTTCTCGACCTTCTGGCAGTCCGTATTTTTTTAACACATTCATCTGAATGGAAACGACGATTGGATATACATACTGTATAACCTTTAGCATATCGTTGCCCGCTTTGGATTTTGCATCGGCCAAGTTGTTGGCATTTTCGCAATTACCCAGCGATTCCAATACCTCTGTTAGTATTACTAAAAAAAATTAAAACAAGTTAAATGTTTGAAATTGTATAAATAATATGGTGATACGTTACAACGTTTTATGGTGTAAAATATTTGTTTGCGTCACGCTATTAAACAAAAGGTAATAACGACGATCGAGTGATGCTCGATAATTAATACCTCTAATAGTGTTCGAGTCCAACTGAAACGATGCCGCAGTCATATTTGTGATTTGATTTTAAATAAAAAATAACAATATTATGTAAATCTACAATGAGTGTAGATATTATACAGATGGCTACTGCAGTATATTATGTAGTTTTGTTTTTTTAGTCTAACGATAGGAAATGTAGAAACAAAGTTATGTTTAAATCGGTTTAGGTCAGTGTAAATCAAATTAAAGAATAATATATTAAAGTTTAAACTTCAAAACGTGTGTTTGCAATTTGAAAAATATGACAAATTTACAAACAATGTGAATTGTTAAGTGATAAGAAATCCTTATCAACTTGTTATCAATATTTGTAAAAAATATAATCCAAATATTTTGAATAGTGTACTTTTAAAAATGTCATCATTTACAAATTAAAATGAATTACTATTTTATTTATAAAAAAAAAAAATACGAATTTAGCGTCAAGAAAAATAATATTATGAATGTCCAACTATAGAGCCATAATGTACTATGTCTAAATTATAAAATAAAATATACTAACAGCTGCTATAGTATAAGATTATACAATTTGAAAATAATATTATTTTTGATCGTTGTTTAAAACAATAAGTTGATATTCTTCTTCTAGGCATTTAATTATACAAAGCAGGTTGTCTAATAAGTGTGCAGTCTACTAGATTTAAAGTCTTATCCTTGAAAACATCTTTAATTTTAAGTAATTTGATAGGTATTTAAAATAATCCAACCAAACTCCCAAGGAGTTCATTCTGATGTTACTAAACCACTTTTAACAACATTTTGTCGAGTTTGCTGAATATACAAATTTCTAGCTGTGTTTTCAAACTTAATTTCATGTCGAACAAATTAGTTTGTAAATACTTGTGGTCAGAAAAATTTACTGGTTTTCAAGGTCCATCGACTGTCAGATTTAGGATGTTGACCATATGTATAAAGTGCATAACACCGGAAGCCTGTGATTCTAAATTGCCTTACACTTTGCCAGCGAAAGACCTATCATTTTCTTGTTTGTGTACATTTCGTCAATTTCTAATTCAGTAAGTTTTGACATTAGTTTGCCACAACAATTTTCCAAATTTAATACTGATTAACTTTCAAATACATACAAAATGTCATGTTCACTCATGGAAAACAAATTTACCAGAGATGAGCAATTTTCATTATTCATACTTCTAAAATGTTTTATCTACCAAGACATGTTGGTACAACTGAGTATAGTTAACACAAGAATAATAATTAATGCATTCATAAATTGAATAAATCTAAATTTGTTTAAAAAAAAAAAACCAAAGAGTTATCAAGGACTATAATAATAACAATAGCCATAAACGGTATATTTTATCCTGTTTATATTAGTTTTTCTTATTTGAAAGTGTCATGAACACAGTTGGAAAACTACACGGGCAGCATAGGCCGCCGCCGGCGATAGCGATTGCGAAACCGCCATCTTGTTGGAGGTGATCAGTTTGACCATCAGGGAAAAACAAAATTATGTCGCGACAACATTGGGATGTTTAAATGGATTCCTTTTAAATCTTAGCCCGTGCCCCAAGCCCATAAGTCAAGTTGGGTCTTATACTATATGCCATGTACAATCTTACTTTGATTCAAACAGTCTTATCGTTGAGAAATTAGCCCGATTGACGTTATTGATTCTTCGTTGTATCTCTTATGGTGCGTGTCATTTTTACTGTTAATTAGTGTCCCAAGATAATATTTGAAGCTACCCACGCGTTCAAATGTGTAATTGGCCAATTTCAATATTATTATTGTTATTTATAATACCACTTAGAATGTTTTGCTCTCCAGAGCAAAACTCTCGTGTATTTAGTTTTTTTTCTCACTGACTGATTAATCCCATCTTCTCCCCAGCTTGGATTCATTTATATAGTCTCAATCACTACTAATATTATTCCATTTATTATTTTAAAAGCGTGGCCTGATTGTATAGTATATTTTATGGGTTGTCAATTGCTGCGAAATTGCCAAATGTTTCCTCCAGCAAAAGGCTATTGATTTTTTCTCACATCCAAAAGGGTCCAGAGGTCAACACGGACCAATCGTCGCGTCGTATCCAGGGCCGTTGTTAGGGGATGAAAAACGGGGAGTAGGGGATGTAAGACACCCTCCAATCGACAAACTCAAGTATACTCGGCCGGCGCACAAAGATTTACCAAAAAGTCGGCGGCAAACAAGCCTAAAAAGTTACACGAATAATATATTTTATACATTTTGTATCGCACGTTTAAGGGACAGCCAAATTAAAATATAATTTTTTTTTTTTTTTACAGTAATAAAGTCCACAAAGCGTTGTACAATATAAACTATAGTGCCTACACGACTCGCTTATTATCCTTTTAGTAGTAGATACCTTTATTTGTATATGTAGGTACAGGGATGGACGGTATATCTAAAAAAAACGTATTTCAAATACTTTTATTTAAGGATACACATAACACATTGTACTTTAGTATTTCATTATTTTTCTGTAGATCCCTGTGAATCTGGTATAGAAGGTATTTAATAGTGGCGTTTACCCTCTGTTGTTTTTTTGACTTTCAATAATTGCCATGATATTGTAATTATACATTCGAGTCATATAAAAACATAATTTGGACAAAACACAATGGAGATATAACATAAAAAAAAACTTAATCATTACAGTTTTGGTATTTTGCTTCTGTATTGTAACATAAAAACAAACATACAAAAATATAATACTATATATTCTGTATTTTATAACTTTAGACGGGTACTTGTATTTTGTATTTAGTCGATGAAAATACAGAATACTACATTTACTTATATATATTACTCGTTTTTATTAAAATTTCTTTATTTTTTTAACCTAAATATGAAACGTTTACTGAATGAAACGTGATAAGCCACAATTTTGTTGATAATAACCTTTTTTTAATAGGTAAATATTATGTTCTGTGGCTTTTTACTTTTGAAAAGAGTCAAACTCGTACGGTGGTTCATTTTATCGTGGCGATTCAAACTATTACAACAAAAGTACCTATTAATTATTTATACATATTATATTATTATAAACATTTGATTGAAAGTGTTAATATTTAACACAATATATTGGTAAAGAAGTTTTGATTTAGGTACATCATTCTATTGCAGCCAACGATTAAAACTCTTATCTGTTGGTTAAAAAAAAAAATATGAAAACTTGATATACAAAAAAGTTAGTACATAAATAAACGCTTCGATGCAAATCTGTGGGAAGTATGTATAAACCACACATAGCAGCCCAAAGACTACATTCGGTCAAAGTGTAATATTTTTCCCTATTTTTTTTTTTTGGTTTTTCCTTCATAAAAAAAAAAGTTTGACTACAGATTTTTGAAGAAAATACGTTTATGTACGTTCTAACCGTACATCTTGTTCTAGATTAACCTTTGGTCAAATTGTTTACACCTTATAGCCCAAAACACACAAATTTGTAACTAGTTGGACTATTTTGGAAAAAGTTTTAGCACCGATTTTAATCATTTGAAAAATATACAATAACTTTTCGGGTGTACACGTCATTGTAAAGGTATACAATACCTGCTCGGCTATCGCGTCCAAGCTAACAATGTAAACAAGTATATAATATAGCGATAAGAATCAAATAATATATTTTTTCCAAGTAAAGTAGTCGTACGCGAAAAACAGGTTATTTTTAATTTCCCCAAGGTACACCTACCGTTTGGAAGTATACCGTTTTTTTTTTCCGTCCCCCTTAACAATGTCAATATAAATTTGTACAAAACATACATTGTTGTCCATATAAATTGAATTCAGACCTGGCGAATGGCGTCACTGCGAATTTAATTTAAAATCTCCAACAAACGGGTGTATTGTAATCTGTAGACTCGAAGGGAGGCGGCAAGCGGGGTGGTGACAAGTAGAGGGGGGAGGGGGTGGTGGTGGTCGCGGGGTGCGCAATATAATAAGATCAAGATGGCGGCGGCGGCTGCGTTCGGCGCCGGCGGGTTAGCCGCTGGACCTCTATCGATTGCAATGTTGCCAATTCTTTTTTTGCCCCTGTCTTATATATAATATACTTACTTACACACTTACACGAACTTCCAACACCGTTCGCGGACTTCAGTCGAGTTCAACCCGCGGACCGATAGAGGAGACGTTCGCTCGGTGAGTATACTGAGTACACCTAACGGTCGGTTTATTAACACTTATACACACGGTTTTTGTTTACAGCTGTTGTCCATTTGAATAACACCAATTATTACCCAACTCCAATATCAAACCGATTCAAACCATTATTATTATTATTTACTCAAGGTAAGACCTTTGAAAATTGGATATGTATTTTTTTTTCTCACCTAATTGCTGTGAGTCGATATTAGTCTGTAATTACTCTTAAAAAAATTAAAAAACCTACCATTAACGTTACAGTGAGCCGTTGTCGCCGCCTTCAGTGGACATGCCGTCAGTAGCCGCCGCTAGTGAACTGTCGACGGTTTTCCAGTTCCGCGTCTCGCTGTTGAACAACGAGTTCGAAGTGTGGAGAAGCGTGCAAATGCCCAGTGACTTCACGTTCCACGATCTGCACGCGGCCATTCAGTTCGCCATGGACTGGGAAGGCGTCGACAAGGATAATCATTTCTTCGAGGCAATCGACAACTTGGACGGCACTACGCACACAATCGGTTCGCCGGGGCCCTGCGTGTTCGATGAACGCACGGTGAAGCTGAGCGATTATTTCTTGGAAGTCAACGACTCGGCCAACTACTATTACGACTACGACACTGCTTGGCTCCACCGTGTCGACTTGGAGAAAATATTGCCGGCCGGCGAGGACAAGGTGTATCCGGTTTACGTCGAAGGCGTCGGCCTTTAGATCCGGCCAGCGTATGGCAATGTTTTCAATATTAATCCGTATGTATGTGTGTGTGTTTAGATTTCGGTGTGCTTTAACTTCTTTACGTGTGTGTTTGGAAACTTTATTCTTTGTGTACAAGGTGATTGACTTAACGCAACACATGAGGCAATCGTTCATTTACATTTTACTGTAACGCGTAACTTTTTCCAGAATTTTCTGACTAAATTACCGTCCGAGCTGGACGATCGTCGATTAGTATTTTAAAAATATTACGTTTACCTAAAGATAGTCGTTAGAAAATAAATCAATAAAAATACTTATAACGGAACAAATTCGGTGTCTCGAGTTAAGTCGATTATCCTTTTAAAAAAAAAAAAAATGTTTTAAATCGGCTATCGTAAAATAAAATTATTCATTTTTGTTTGTATTTATATTCTTTTTAAGATTTCAGTACTTAATTTTAAGTTAATTGTTTTTATATAAATTTACGCACGAGGAGAAAATATGGGTTCGATAGACTTTTTTTGTTTTACAACAAATAACAGCTAACATACAGTACAATCGAGTACAAGTATACAAGAAAGTACAATTCCATTATAAATAAAATTTAAAGAATTACTATTGTTATGTTATATTACTAAGTTTTAACATTTGTAACTCTTTTTTATTAAAAAATAAAGCTCATCAAAGATTGTTATTCCTGTGATCTGTACATTTTATTATACTTATTTTTTTTTTATATATAATATAAATATAGGGATTTTTAAGATGTATAATTTAAGCTCTTTGGTAACTCGATGACATTTTTTAATAAATTATTGTACGCGACATTTGGTTTGCGAATTCTTCCGAAAAGTTGTTTTAATAACAACTTCAACGGTCTTCCCATACGGTTGTACCAACGTTAACACATTTTTCACTAATAATAATAATAATCACAAGAACTGATAATTATCTATTTACATTTTTTCTTTTATAGTTTATATATTTTTATCATTTCCTTAAAACTATTTATATTGTTATTATTTATTTATATACATTTTTTTTTTTACATGCTGTCATAAGTTTGTTTAATATTGTACTTTAAGCGTATCTGTACATTGTATTTACGATGTGATATCCATCGATCTCTATTGGTTTTCTTAATTCTTTCTATCGTTTCACGAATAAAATAAACAATATATTTTTTTTTTTTGTTCAACTTAATATCATCGTTAATATGTTGTACACGCAACAAACATTCGTGTTGCTCAATTATTGTTATTATTTTTCTTGTTTCCACTATACAATTGTCTGTAAAAATAGATAATTTATCGTAAAAAACAATAATATTAATTTTAAAATAAATGTTTTTCCTAATTATTCTTCCGACTATAACTTCGATAACGTCAATTGTGCAATCGTAACGTTTCTCGTTTATTCTTAAAGGGTATTACATCTGTTAAAGCGTTACGATTTCTTCGGTCCCTATATTTATGTGATTTTGTTTTTTTAACAAATTCTTTTGAAAAGTTTTTTAAAATATATCATTAAGGTCGTGCATTTATTAATAAATAGTACTCGTTTTATAAATACAACTATTATACATTTATTTATTTGCTTGGAATGTGAAATTTTAAAATGTGTGCGTATTATACTTATTTAAAAATATTCTAGTCATTTGTGGTTGTGTGTGTGTAATACAAAATAAAGTTTGAGATCTCAATAAACTCTTGATTTGTCTATCAATTAATGTTTTAGTTATTACCTTAAGGTTGATAAATAAAAAAAATAATGGTATAAAGATACATAATATAATATATTATAAAATCAAATTACACAAAAATTATTTCAATACAAAATTTTAAATTGATTTAATATTAAAAAAAAAAAAAAAATCTACTATCAGTCAATCGATACACACTTATATTTAAATTTTCATTTACGACAATTGAAATTAAAATTTAAAAAAATACAAGTTGTTAAGTTTTTCAGTCGTAGATTTAAAAAAAAAGAGTTAACACACATTTCATACAATTATAAGATAAAGTTTAACTCGAAAGCGATACGTATGAGTCTTTAAGAAATTTGTCGCAGAGTTAAACTATATTGTAAAAAAAAAAATGAACACACAATTAGTTTTTTTTATTATAAATAATAGGACAGAAAATATTAAGAAAATGTACTAGACGAGACGTACGTGAAAAAATTGGAAAAAAAAAAAATGCTAATAATTTAATTATTAATTTAAATCGACCGTCTTCGATCGGTGTTTTGCTTGGTCAGCCGAAGGCTCTTCTCTGATAATTGTAACGCAATCCCTAGCTGTCAAAGAACTTATCTTCTCAAACACTTTTCTTACCCTTGAAAACAATAATAAGAAAAATTAAAAATATAAATATATATATTTAAATATATACTTTTTTTAAGGATTACTTTTTAAATTTATTATTCATAATAAGTTTTAAAAACCTTTAAGAGTTGAAAATGTGTCGTTAAGTACTTAGGGAATGGACAAAAAGCCAAACAAGTATTTGAAATTTAATTTTGAACCTTATATTATATTATATTATATTCTTTAAGTTAAAATATATTTTTTTTTTTAAATGTTAACATATAATATTTGAGGAAAAAAAAAGGTAACGTTAAATAAAAAATAAACCGACTTAAAATTTGATATGCAATGGAAAATGTCATCTTAAACAGGATAAGATGTTAGATAGTTTCTAACAAATCAATTATAGATTTTTCTTTTAACAAGTACGTACGTTAAAAAACCTTTTAACAACTTTAATTGGTTCCAAACAAAATATGATTAATATTTTCTATTATCCGATATGTTCAGTAATGTTATTTAACGCTTGAATTGCTTAAAAATCAAGTAGAATTTGTTTAGAGATTAAATTTGACTACTTTAGTAATTGAGATTCAATTTTGATCCTTGTAATATATTGTGTTTTTATTAAGTTATTTTTTTTTTTGGAAATTTATAAGTTTATATGATGGACATAATATTCTTTTCATCAGTAAAAATTATTATCACATTTTACTTACAATATAAATCCAGCAGAAATTCTCTAAAATGAAAATATTGCAGTTTTTTTTTACTTTATCATAAGGGTAGTATTTTGTAAAAATATTTTTTTTACTAGAATTTCAATTACTTTATCTTTAAATTGCCGCTGTAATAAAATTTAAGAAATATAATATAGATAAAACATTAAAAAAAATGAAAACCATTTACATTTAAACAAATTATTATTATTTTTAAAATCTGTAATGTATCTATATGAAATCATCATTCGGTAGTACCTTATTGAAGAGAACTGTACAAAACCGTTTTAATTCCAGATTGAAAATGAAAAAACGTTACGTTCGTTTAACAATTTATTATTTAAAATTTAATTTTCACTTCGATGCCAATCTAGAGGGACATTCGATTAACGTAAGATTTTTCCAAGAAAATAAATAGTGAATTTACCATTTTATTTGGCACATTTTTGAGCGCTACCCACTTTGAAAGTTAACAATGATATACTAAACATTTTGATAAAAATAAAAGTGGAAACTGTCGGTTTTAGTCCTACATTTAAAACTGGATTCTACTGTATAAATTATTGTCTACAGAAACTGCAAACTAAACCACGCATTAATTTTTATTGTAATTCAACACAAAAATGATCAACTAGTCAAATTTAATCTCTGCGTAAATATTGTCATTGATTTTTAAGCCATTTGGGTCTTAAAAAATTATGTTACGTTTTTAACGAGCTAAATAATATTAAATTAGTGACAATAATGGGCATAACAAATTATCAGAGCTTACGCGGAGAGTACGAACGTGAATGAGATCGTGCGTGGTATGGTTTGGCTTTGTAGTATGACGGCGGCGATCTATCGTCTCTGTAGTTTCCACGACTACGGCTGCGGCTTCTGTCTCTATATCTGCCGTCATAATAATCACTGTTGCTATTATTAAAAAAAAAAAAAAAAAAACAATTAGCAAAACTTATCGGGTCTCATCAAAGTGAATACACAACACGATACTCACTGATAATCCCTATCCCTGTCAAAACGACTTCCCTGATAGCCCCTGTCGTAACGGTGTCTTCTGGTCGGCCTTCTTGTTCTATTTCTAAACAATAATAATACATAGGAAAATAAAAAAACATTAAATAGCGCGTCGTAATGTTTCGACGTAAATAATTATGTTTCGCACCCCATGTAAATTCCGGGCGTCGGAGTGCGTGGACGATGTGTAAGAGAGAAATCTACACGAATCTCACGTCCGTCGATTTCCATTCCGGTACACCCGTCTTTGGCTTTCTTGGCCTCGTTGTAATTCTTGAAATACGCAAAACCAAAACCTCGAGATCTCCCAGTCTGCAAGTTGAACATATAAATATTAATAATAAATGAGCGCTATTGTCGACAGTTTTAATTTCGGCCAATCCATTTCTCACTTTAGCGTCGATAATAACCGAAACTCTCTCGATTGCTCCGTATTTTGAAAATATATTGTACAGTTGATTTTGTGACGTGTAGTGGTTCAGCCCAAATATGCCCAAGCATCGGTTCGCCTTGGAGTTATCCTAGAAATCAAAACGTACGTTAGGGTTGGGAAAATATCTGTAAGGCCCTACGGATGCTGCAGTCTGATCGACCCGACAAATAATTAGCTGTATCATCTGTAGAGGCCTTAAAAAGGAAAGCGTACGTATTTGTACAAAGTAAAATTGTTACGTACACCTTTTCGGCGTCTAAAACAACTATACTTACGTATTTGCTACGCCTGGAGCCCGATCGACGAGAACGATGACGGCGGCTGCGCCTACGACGTTCACGAGAACATGAACGAGCCCTGGATCGCGATTTAGAACGCGTTTCGGATCTGTTTCCGTTGCGACGACCGGGAGAATGAGTTTTCGACTTTGAACGGCTTATGGATCTGTTTCCGTTGCGACAACCGGGAGAAAGAGTTTTCGACTTTGAACGGCTTTTGGATCTGTTTCCGTTGCTACAACTGGGAGAATGAGTTTTTGACTTTGAACGGGTCTTGGATCTGTATCCGTTGCGACGATTGGGAGAATGAGTTTTTGATTTTGAACGTGACGACGAACGACTGTTGGATTTACATTGACTGGCCGATTTATTGGGCGACAATGAACGCGACTTGGATTTGTTTTCGTGGTCCTGAAACATGACGGTGTTGTTGAAGCGATATGAAACTACAGACTATAATAGCTGTAGCGTTGATTATTGACGTAACTCGTTGTTAGTCGCTCGTAGGCCAAAACGACCGCAGTCACATTTAAGTCACACTGTTTCTCAAGGAATCAAATGTACACCGGTCACGCTTTGTTTAGGTGTGACCAAAAAATCGGGCGACTAACGAAGGGTTAAGGATCGACATAATATTTTTAAAAGTATTATCTCACCTCGGCGTTGCTCATGTTGTACGATGTCGTGTAGGATTTGTTGAGCGACTACACTACTACTAAGAAGAATGTTATAACAAAAAAAAAAATATCACAAACCGAAATTTAGAACGTTTAACGTTGAGTAGAAATAAAATAACACTACCGTTACTGAATAATTATTATTGATTACACACGGGCAATCGTCAAAGATTGTCCGAGAGCCGAGAACAAAATGGAGCCGGTAGTTTTCGAACAACGGCTGTTTGCCGTAACGTAAACACGTCCTCCGCCGTCCACTGCTCCTATCAATGGTTGTGCGTCATTTCATACACTGCGTGACCAGTGTGGCCAGATAAAAAAAAAATTCAATGAAATCTTCGCTTTTCCGGTAACCTAAAAGAAATCTCCGGGATTCTCGCAATTCGAATAATGTTTTTTAACATTATTCCGCGCGTTCGTATTCGTATACCCAATTACTGAATAATTATAAATAGTCCAAAAATAAATCGTTCTTGATCGTTCACCGTCACAGGATGGATAAATATTAAGCAGAAGGGTATCATTTTCAATGTAAACAAAAAAGTAAAAAATACAATCTGTATAAAATATTACACAATACAGGCATTTGTGTTAAAAATTAAAACATTATATGCGTATAGTGGTGTAGCCTTTAGAAGATGGCCCCGTGTTTTTTCGTGTCATAAGTATCTTGTCATTCGTATCTTCCCCGTGTTAATAATTTTTATCAGTGTCCCGCGGCCCGTGCGCGAATAAATTCCCATTGTTTTGAAATTTGGCAGTTGGCACGGCTGTTCGTCCTGTGTTTACATGCTCCTCGCCGCCGCGCCGTACGCTCGCTCTGCTTTGATCTGCTCAATAGTCGAAAAATTCAAGTATAGGTTATTCAATTTTTTTCCTTAAAATTTATCAACTTTATTTGAACTAAGTTTTAGAAAATTATTCAAACGTTCTGAACAGTTGTTTTTATTTTAGTTTTTTACGTATTATCGTTTTTGTCCATTAATTATAATACAATATAAGACAATTTTTTTGCAATTATTCAATGTGACATTAACAAAAAATTGAGTCAATTTTGATTTTTTTTAAATAAAAAAATTGAATTTGTTACTTTGAGTTTTAAGTAGACGCAATATTTAAGGGAAAAACGATTCTATTTAACTTCGACCGTTTTAATTTATGTATAAGGCATTTTAGTTGTAAAAACAAATAAGGTATGAGCATTTGGCTGGTCCAATTAAAATTCTGTAAAAAGATAAGGATTATTTAGTCACATATTTGATCATGTTGACATGTTTTAATGAAAAAAAAATAATTTAAAAATTTTTAAGCGCTTTATTATTATGTTAAACTGATTAAAGCATAAATCTTTAGAAAATTCGTTGGGAATATTATTTTTTGTGATTTTAACTTAAAATAAAATAATGATATAGTTTTGACACGGTTTTATTGATTCTGGCCACAAATACACTTATACAGGGTGGTCAAAATACCTACCTATAACAACAGCTTCTGTTTTATTGTATTCTCAAAATTTAAAGAAGCTCTTAAATGGACTGCATTTACAAAAGTCCCATTCGTTGCCGTTTGGGCACTTGTATCTAATTAGGTTAGATTTAAAAAAGTATTTCGATTGAGTATCGTTTATTAATAAAAAAAAAAAAATAGGTTGACTACAGAAATTTGCAGCTAATTCGACCAATTTTTTACAGATTTTAATTTGAAAAAAATATTAGTATACTTTTTGATATGTTTTTCTCGATTTTGAAAGGGAAGGGGTGAACTTCAACAAGTTTTTGGCCACACATAACAAACACAAGACAAGAAAAATGAATAACATTAAAACGTATATACAGGGCGTTTGTTTTTTATGGCTAATTTAAATCTCTGTATAGATAGCTGTACTTTGGGACACTCTGTATACACCTATATACCTGTATTTACTTTACCTGACGATAATTGAGTTTTTTAATAATAACCATAACAACCGAAGTTCAATATTTAACGTTTTGTACACAGTAAACATAATAATATGATATTTTATCGTTGAATTCTCGAGACTGCGTGGACGCAATTTATATAATGGGAGTGAGTTACCTACTCTAAATTAATCTGATTGATTTTTGATTTTTTTTCTTTTGTACCTACTAACCTTTGGCTTTGTTTAGTAGGATTTGAAAGCGACCACGATTAAGGACGCGATAAAAAAATGGGAAGACGAAAACAAAGAATCTGCGACAGAGGCCAAATCGGTCGGTCTCCAATTTCAGTGGCCTCCCATTGAAAAAATGGACAGTAGTTTGTCTGTTTTGGTCAACTGCGAGTAAGAATCGTTCAAGTCTATAATATAATATTGTGTTTAAAGTCCTATAAAAAATCCTTTGAAAAACACTTGCCAAGTCATGGCCGGCTTGTGGACTTTCTTGATTTCTAGAGAATTATTCACAATAAATGGTACCTCTATTCGCCATCTTTTTAAATTCATCTAAATTATACTACACAAAATATGAAAGTTTAGAATCAAACTATATCAGATAGAGTTCAGAAACTCTTCCATTCAATTCTATATATTTTGGTTTTTTCCCTCTATTCACAACAGGCTCTGTAAAATATTAAACCAGCGCCTTATATTTACCTAAAGTTCTCTTCTGGGATGTGATAATATGCAACAAAAAGGTGAACAATGTTTTGTGCTAAAATAAAAATATAATTTTTTTATGCATGGTAAAAAAAAATAGTACTTCTCTAATGATTTTTGTTTTTAAGCAAATACCTACCTACTCAATTTAAAAAATGTAAATAAGTATGAAAAATAAATTTAAACCATTCAAATCCGGACTCGAAAAAAATTATCTAACCCCGTTGTTTTTTTTAGAAAACTATCGTTGAGTACGAACATGATCGAGAAAATTAACGGACTGTCGGCTTTGCGTAATCTGAAAATCCTATCGCTCGGTCGGAATTACATCAAGGCTTTCACCGGACTAGAAGCGCTGGCCGACACATTGGAGGAACTATGGATATCGTACAATTTCATCGAGAAAATGAAAGGCGTTTTGGGCATGCGCAAGCTCAAAGTGTTGTACATGTCCAACAACATGGTCAAAGAATGGGCCGAAGTGAACAAGCTTGCCGAAATGGAAAGCCTTCAAGATTTCCTATTTGTCGGTACGGGGTAGTTGCATTGCCATTGTTATCATTTAGTAATACTAACTTGAATATTTTCTGCGGTTTTCACAGGAAATCCTCTTTTTGAAGCGTTGGACGAAAGCGTATGGCGCAGTGAGTGTATCAGAAAGCTTCCCAAATTAATCATACTGGACGGTTTACCAGTAATTAGAGATTGAACAAAAAAAGAACACTTTTGGAATTCTAACCAAATATTTTCAAACGCAATAATATGTAAATAGTCAAAAACTTAAACGATAATATAATAGCAATAGTTATAGTAATACAATTTTTTGTTAACGACTAAAAATCATTTACAAGATTGTAAGTGTTTACAGAGTACAAAAAAGGATAGTTTAAAAAAAAAAAAACGGCATTTAGGCCAAAGTTGGTGTGCCAATATATATATATATATATATATGTATCATTATCACAGATAAAACTATAAATCGTTATGTAGTAAGTAAAAAAAAAAAAAATTGTAATTTGTAAACAAATTTTCTAATAAAGTTAAAAACAAAATATGATATACAAAAGTTAGGAATTTTTATTTTGCGGTATCGCCTATTTCTTTGTATCGTTTGTACATGCTAAATAAAAATAAACATTCGTCTAATCGCATTATGTTTAGTTGACATTTGCGTAATAGTCTTTTGATAGACTGGATCAGTATTCTTTCGCTCGGAGAAAACAAATTGTCCATGGCTTCTTCGAAGAAAGCGTCGTCGGCTTCTTGCATCCCTTGAACCATACCATCGAAGCGCGCTTTGTTCTTCAACAGACGTTTGTTGTCCTCACAAGTTTTGAATTTCCACGTCATACAATTGCCAATCATTTTCAACACTTCTTCGGTGAGTTCTTGGTGCAACTGACGGTCGTTCAAATGATACAAATAAAACGATTTCCCGTCGTTTCGTCCAATACGAGTGTTGGGCTTTTTCAGTTCTTGAACTTGCAAATAGTTATTCATGAACAATTCCGAAGTTAACGTTTTGGTTTCACGGTCGGGTATCAGCGCCGTCTGTTGGAGGCGTTCCAGTTCCAACAGTTTGTGTGTTCTTGTCGCACGGAAAAGCCTAGCCGAATTTTGACCAAATTTATAACTGACCATTTGATCGATTAACGATTCGTTTAAACAACTCACCGCCTGTTTGAAGTTCACAGTAATATTGCACATAGTGCCGTACGACTTGGACACAAATTTAGTGGGATCTTCTTCGATCATTGTTATGTATTCCAGTAGATAATTCTGGCCAACGGTCAAATTACTGCGGATCAACTGCAACGGTATGGGATTCGAAACGGGTGAATAATTGTCAGCGCATTGGTTCAATATGGTTTTCATGACGTCGCCGGCAACGACATCTTCCAACGTCCTGACGACGGCGTCGACGATCAATTTGTTTCTTATGTCTAAGTGAAATTTATCAAAGTTCACGTCGAACAGAATTTTCTTTTCGTCTTTGTGATTTTTCGCCGGAGCCGTAAACCGTTTGTTCGACTTCACTTCGGTCCACACCACGTACGTGGGCGTCCTTTGGAAGTATTCGTTTTTCACCAGCTCCACCGCTTTCTCCCAATAGTCGTCGAATTCGTTGGCCGCCTTGTTGTGCGTTTTCAAACACTCGCCGACGATTTTCGACAGCGACGCCCGACCGAGACACAGCAGACTTTGGACGAGCTCCCTGTGAGTGTCGCCAAACTTCCTTTTGATGATCGACAGATATTTCGGATACCTCAACACCAACATCACGTTGTCCGTGTTCAATTTGTATTCTATTTGAACGGAATGAACGTTGCATATGGCCGACACGAAATTGAACTGCAACAATACGACGAGGGCCTCTTGGATGGTCTGCTTGGTGTATTTGCCCGCCAACAAGGAAGCCAAAGTCAACAGAGATTTTTGGCCCCATTGCAACGGTTTGACGATTTCGGCCATGTCCCGACCGAAGTAATCACGCAGTATAGACGAACAGATACGACAGAAGTCCGTTGACATTCTGAACGCGACGGTTTTGTATTTTACTAAAAAAGTTCCAAAAAGGAAACAAACAAAAACGAATCCCTTCGTTAAATTTTAAATTATTATTATACGAAGTACAATTAATGTGGTAAAATTTACAAATTCAAACGTTGTATCAACATTGACGGTGTATATCTCTGATAATAGAATATGGTACTGTGATAACAGAGACGAAGTAAACAGGTATGTCGGCGACTAGTGTGTTATAAACTCACAACATGGCCGCCGACGTTATCCCGTAAGAAATACACGGCCGCCCAAACAACACCGGCGGCCATTTTGCGCTCACCGCGAAGCGCCGACATACCTGTAACTTTTTTTGGTCACCTCTTACCACGATTATCAGCATTGGTGTTATCAGTTATCTTTGCTTATTTGCCCGGCGGGATTTAGTGTTTACATTTGAAAAAAACTTTACTGGCCTTTATTGATGGAATTATAGATGATTTTTAAAAATGTTCAATAAACATCAATTATTACTATTAATTTTTAAAAATTCCTATTTACAGGAGTTAGGTTAGGTATATTGTTTTTCGTTTAGACCTAGCTTTAGCTTAATAACCGGTCAATCAAACTGCACCGATAAAAACAATTCAACATTTTTCCCATTTTCATACACTAAGTCAAAACTTAGTCACGAGAATCGAATTGTTTTGTTATCTGTGCTATATGATATTGTTCATGTTTGTATTTGCTTTATTTTTTGTTATAACATATTTATTTTAACATTACAACCTTGTGGACGTGGAAAAGGGAAGCATGTTCTTTATATATTTTGTATTATTTTACTAGCTAAATAAACGAGTTCACAAACATATTCATTTGCACATAAATTAGCGCTGTAATTTACATTATGGTTTGGGAATAAAGGTAATTTTTTCATCATTTTATTAACCAATGATTAACTGAGACTCTCCTTAAACAATTTAGAAAAAAAATGTCCACATCTCTCTGCCTTTTTGTTTTATGTTAGGTATACCTATTTTAATATTCTTTTACTATTTTAGTTTAATTTGACTAGTCTCTTAAGATCTTAATAAAAATTGAAGAAGTTAATTTTTTTAATCTTTAATATTTTTCTATTTTTTTCAATTCCTCGGTGTTTGTTAAGAAATTTACCTAGAGTGAGTATTACTCTATACTTAGGTGTTTCCAGGAAAGAATATCGACGAAAAACGACAAAAACTTGTGAAAATTACTATAAATTGTTTTTTTCTAGGTATAAATAAACGAGAATCATACCTATCGTTCAATGCGTTGTTTCTCGTGTCTTTTTCGACCACTTAAATTTATTAAATAATTCAAGGGGTTAGTGGATAATGGTGTTAACTGACGATTTCAAAACTGTTCAGGAGGCAACGTTTCATAGTCAATTTTTTTTTAATTTTCAAGCTCGACACACATATTTCAACCGCTATAATATTTTTAACACTGTATACATTTACAACCGTTCAAACTGAAAACTATTTCACAAAAAAAATGTCAGTTAACTCCACGCTATTCACTGACCCTTTCAAGTTTGTCCGACTTTTTCATATTATATAAATACTCCTTAACGTGCAACAGTATACCTAGCTAATTTAAATAATTGCAGAAAACATTGATTTGAAATTAAAAATATTTTGCAGTTGTTGTTGTATTGACAAAATAGTTTTTAATTTAACCGCCAGAGTGAATATTCGACAACGAACACAATAGTGATAACAGAGCGCTTATCAGGCAAACAAAATGTATAACCGTATGCCGTTCGTCGCGGCAGTTTGCTGTTTTTTGTTATTGTTTTTATTTAAGAAAATTCTGTTTAATAAACGTTTCCATAAATCGCGGCGGCAGTTAGAGGTATTAAACGATAATATTATTTATTTGTAACGTATAAAACATTTGATCGAAATATGACAATATTAAGGCCACTCGCCACTTCTGTTGTGTACATTATTATGACGTTAATCGTGTATTAATTATTAAAAAATATCATATAGTCGTTATTGTTACAGTCGTTGGCGTTTGTTAATTATTATTGTCTTTTGAATTATTCGAAACGATTGCCATTAACCTTTTTTTTTTTTTAATACTGTATTTTTCCATCTCGCAGGCAATTGGCTGTGCGGCAGTGTCGTTTCGATTCCAATACACGTCTCAAGAGTTGTACGGTTTTTTGATCGCTCGAACAAATGAGCGCAAAAGTCGAAACCATGGACGTAAACGTCGGCGCCCAAACCAGTGCCGAAACCCAACAGCCGAAGGATCCCGATCCGTTGTTTACGATAGACAAGTCAATGCACTCCCGCAGTGAATTTGTAATACCGATATACGACGAGGTAATCGTATTGTTCACTTAAGTCGCACTCAAAGGTGTCGTCGACAATGTGACTTGTAAAAAAAAAAAAAAATCATAACATAGTACAAGCCTTCACATTGACAGACAATTTGTCCTGACGATCTTGTATACAATTAGTATGTGTTTGTATGAATTAAATTTACCGTGCGTCTCTGGTTTTTTTTTTATCGCGAGTTTATGCTAAATTATAATTATATATTTCTTACGCTAATTTTCAATCCGCAGTATGTACTAATTAGTCTTTAGTTATATGGTAATAGACAAGCCAAACATAAATAACGGAAAATATTAACAAATAAATGTGTGTAAAAACAAACGTAAACAAGAAACACGCAAAAAAAAATTTATCAACTTACCGACGAGACAATATTTTCAGTATATTATACTCAGTATTAAAATTGAACTTTCAATGTAGGTAGCCCTCTAGAAAATGTCAAAAAACAAAAAAAGTTTAATGTTTAGAAATTGTATATAGTGTTGTTAAAAAAAGCAAACAAATCTTATAAAATTGCTATTATATTCGTAAAATAACCTAAAATAGCAAATTATTTTTCTGATTCCAATCACTAATTTTGATAGTTTAATTTATGTTGAACTCCTTTCGTAATAATTTATTGTACTTGGCACGAAAGGATTGTATCAATTTGGCTTAGAAACTCTTTTAATTAATGTTTCTAATATATCATCAACAGTTGCCTTTTACTATTGTTTTCAGACTTGAAACGGGAAAACAATTTCAATTTAGATTACAAAAATAAATTTTTTATTATAATTAAATTAAAAAAATGTTTTGGTTTTAATTTCAATTTATAAAACTATTTTTTAATTTACCGTTTAAAGTTATTTTTTTTTTATTTCGATTAAGGTTAACATTACCGTTAGTGTATTTTTCCAGTTTTTTGGTTGGTAATACAGTGTTTAAATTTTGTTACAAAATCCTTTTTTAATTTCTTGATTTTTAGAAAACTAATTGAGTATTTTGAAATGAAAAAAAAATGTTGATAACTTGTTGTGAATAAGAAAAAAACAATAGTGAGAAGAGATAGATTTTTGTCTTAACTCTAATATAAGATATAATACAATTATAATGGATTTCATACCCATACGGTATAATTTTTAATTTACTGGACATGACTGGATTGACTATAATGCGATTAAAAGTTAAAGCCGGAGTAGATATGCGTCGTTACTCATCGACATTCTCCAGTAATTTGCTACGGCCAGTTGCCGTACGTTAATAATGTAAATTGTAAGTAGTAGACAAACACGGTAACGGCGATCAAATTTGTGTCAAAGTTAGGCTACACGTTTTTTTTTCTCCATATAATATCACAGAGTTAAGATACGATTTAGTTGAAGAAATTCTGGATTGTGTTTACATTTTGTCATTTTGTCATTTACAGGAGAAAGCTTTCGGGTACAAAAAAACCGACACAAGTTCGGACTTCAAACCTAACTCTTGTTGGAATTGTGGGTCCACAACACACGCGTTAAACAGTTGTTCCAAGCGGAAGAATCAACGAACGATTAGCCGAAACAAACAAGCGTTTATGGAACACAAAAGGCTACACTCGGGACCGAGACAGAGGTAAAGTATCGATCCCGACGTTTTTAAACGTGTAAATATGTTACGGCCAATGAGATAAACCTATTATACAATGGTCACTATTGTCTATTGCTATACTAAAAGTGACAAATGGTCAAAATGTGATACGCTTAATTTTTTTGTGATTTATCGACTCAGAATGAAATTAAAAAAAAAATAGTTAATTAATTATCGATGTATAAAAAATGAATGTATATTAGTATAGTTGATTATAAAAAAAGCCAGTACAGTGGGGGTCGGGGCATAGTGGGGACGGAGAGGTCACAGGTCTACAGATTTTATTATAACTGAAAGTGACGAATCACTTTGAAATAAACGCTTCGATGCGAATCTGTGGATAGTATGTTCATATCAGTTAGAGCGGTTTAGAAGATACCGCGGGGCCAGCAAAAATGTACTTAAAATTTAATATTTAGTCTTAAGTTTAATAAAATTTATTATTAAGTGTTATTATAATAATCGCGTTTGCTCGTTTTAAAAATGTTTTTGTTTCCACGTTCAGCTGTTATCTATATTGCACTTTTGTCTGTTACGTTAAGGACTGGCAGGGGAAGGTTCACGCGTTATTACTTGGAGGATTTTCCAGACGAGCCGACCCGATGGAACGACTATGTGGCCGGTAAACTGAGTAGAAAACTGTTGTCGGCGTTAAACGTACCCAAAAACGGACTGCCGCTACATATCTACAAAATGCGAAAATTCGGTTACCCGAGCGCGTGGCTCGAAGAAGCCAAAGTGAAACCTTCGGGCATATCGTTGTACATCGATTGCAATAAAAGTACACATAACAAACGTTAAGAAAGTAATTTCCAATCTGGAAATTAAATTGACATGTTTTTTTTGTAATATTAAGGCGAACCGATCATCGGGGAGGACGGTAAAATCGATACGCACGACCAATTCAAAATCGACATGAGGAAGCTTTGGAAATACCCTGGTTTTAACACACCTTGCCCACCTGGCACGATCGACGTAAGTTTTTTACTACAACCGAGCCGATATCTACTTTCTTCTAATATCCAATATTGCCGATAACCAATCTGATCCAATTTTATTTTCTCGGATCCTTGGATCGCAATGTCCAATACATCAACCTATCTTGCATGTTATCGTTTTGTTATAATGAATTTATTTAATACAAATACACAGCAGCTTAGTTTATAAAAAAGGTAATATAAAAATTAAAAATAAATTGAGTTTTTAAGTGATAAATTTTGTGTTAAAAATTCTTATAATTTCTATAGTCGATAAAGTAGTAATAAAGATAAAAAATAAATCACTAACTTCAGAAACGGAAAACAATTTGTTTTTGTCGATTTTTAGTTTTTTTTAACAATAAATTTAATTCACAATTTACAGCCGAAAATAGTTAAATCAAAGTTTATTCTAAACATCAAGATAAAATATTTAAATGATTTTTTTTTACCCTGAGATATAATTTACATTTTTTATTATTATTACAACAAAATTAAAAAAAATGATATTTTGATAGCAGTTATATTAATATTTTGCAGAACGGTATAAAATACTGTTTCGGTAACAAAACATTTTTATCATTCCAAAAAGAATAACTTATCAATTTAAAATATGCTAAACATTATTTAAAAAAAAAAAATGGTTTATTTTTTTAAAATTTTTTAATTCCAAATCGATAAGCCATCAGAACAGCTTTTTTTTTTTACAGAGATAGTATTTCTTATAATTTTTTTTCTTTTAATTTTAAATACTTATCTATTTAATTGCTGTTGTACTAAAATGTAACAAGTATCGATAAATGTTGTAAAAACTGTTTACAATTGACTTTTTTTTTTTTGTACTTTTATTATATGGTATGCTATTGTAACATAGCTAGATACTTGTAAGTAGTCAAGTTAAATTACTATCCTCTTTGTATATTATATTATATTACATTTTTTTTTTTTAGGAACATTTGAAGTACAATTGCCCCGCGTTCGACCCCAACCAAAGTCTTGAAAATATGTGTGAACATTTTAAAGATTACAAGCTAAAACCGTACAGCCGAACTAAACTATCGTTTCCCGGAGTCGCTGCGACCAAGAAAGTCACAGCCACCGTAACAAGTGCCACCGTAACAAGTGCTGCCGGTATGTGATTGCCAGTAATGAAATATCGTTACCAAATAGGTTAGGTAGGCTGATGCAAAATCAAAGAAAAGGTTTTACCACTATGGGAAGTTAATGTTAATAAATAGTATACGATTAAGGGCTAACCGTATAGGAGGGCTATAGTACAAATATTTTCAAATACACGTCTTATTATCAGTGCCGCAATTATATGATTTTTGGACACTTGTCGGTACATCATACAAACTTGTAAGAGATTTCACCGCACCGTCTAACCTCTCCTGTAATTAATCTCTTTCATTTCTACCATAATTATTTTGTTTACCGCGATCGTATGAAAATGTTCGTTAATTTATATACACAAAACATAACAATCACAAAATGTATTGTTAGAAATAAATTTTAATAACATTCACTCGGCTAGTTTGGTGAAAAATTTTAAATTTAGGATGTACATTAAAAATAAAACTTGACTATTGACAGTCACAATTCACCCACATTTAAAATAATCAATTAAAGTATGATTCTTTATTTATTCTGAAAACTTCATTCTCCTTGTCTCTAATTATCTGATTTTCAAGACACTAGAAGACAATAGGCAACCAAGTTGGAAATAATTGTGTTAGAAAATTAATTTTCTTGAGGCTTTTAAGCAGGACGATGCCGTGTTTGTCCGGTAATTGCGGCACTGCTTATTACAAGTATACATATTTATAATCTTATAATTTAATCTACGGGGGAATATAATAATAACTTTAAGCTATCTAAGCCCCATCATAAGTGAAAATCAACTTTATTACTTTTTGTTTATTTAATAAATTAGGCGCAACAAATGTACATAGATAATATTATCGATATATAAGTATCGCTTTAGAACTAGAACTATATATATATATATATATATATATAAATGTATTTTAAATCAGTGGTTAATGTTGTGTTATCCGATATAAAATTTACATAATTTGTTATTGCTTCCACAAAATTATAAATAAAATAAATGTATGATATTCCGATAGGTTAACTGATTTTAAACTAAAAAAAGTATTGTTCTCGGAACGAAACGTTTATATCGTCCCAAAGGCCTATCTACCGACTTTAAATTATGCTGAAATATAAATTAAAAAATGTAAACACTGCATTCATTAATGTTAACAATTATGATATTATGTTTAAAAAAAAAAATCATATTTTACATTTTACAGTTATCAAAAGAACCTTTTTTTGTTTTTTTAAATAATTGTAAATAGTCCATTTTTTTTGTCTCTAATAACGATTTTATTATTATTGTATAATATCCTATTTTTATAATATTAAAAAAAAAAATGGAAATGCATTCCACTCTGGTGTTAATCAAATTATTTCAATTAGTTTTCTAATACTAGTATTCGTTTTTATGGATGTTATTATCGTAATAGGATTTTAATTTTCACAATTTACTTTCTAACGTGTGTACAAATTTGTCGTCAACAAAAAAGTCCTAACCGACTAACGTTGTTATTTTTATTAAGATTTATGATTAAGAATATGTTTTTTATATATGTATATTTTTACTTACAGTAAGCGACCAAGAGAATCCTCCTTGCGAGAAAGTAGAAACGGCACCCGTTAAAAACCCCGTCGAATCTTCTCCGTCGTCTCTGGAAGAAGGAGAAATTGTCGACAGCGATAACGAAGTACTAGAAGAAACAAAACCGAAGGTACAATAAAATATGTCATTTTCTATTTTTTTAAGTGTACTTTCATTGATATTTTTTTATTTTGTCACCGAACCGTAACTAAACTTGATGATGGCATTTTTGTATTTTACAGATTACGGACGTTTCGCTAGATCTAGACGAAATACCTAGTGTCCAAAATCCCATAAAACTAGAACCCGAAAGCGTTGCCAATGTAATCGACCAACGAGTAGGAGAAACGGTAAGTGTTAAACAAAAAAGCCAATACAGTGGGGTCGGGTGGTAATAGTAGGGACGGATGATTTTGGAACGGGAGGAGTGGCATGTCTATAGGAATTTTTAGATAAACACTGTTGTTATCTGTACAATCATTGTCAAATAATAAATATATCTTTTAAGATATACCTTTTGACTGTGGTTTCATTTACACTTGGCAACTAAACTGAAAAAAGTTTGACTACAGATTTTTAAGAAAATTGTATATGTTATATTAATCCATTCATTCTATAACCACCTTTGGTCTAATTTTCAGATCTTGAGCCCTAAACTTAAATATTAAAAAAAAAAACACATCATTGTAAAAACGATAACTTGTTTTCGTTATTTAAACTCTTAGACGAATATTGTTGTACGATACGGTTTTAAAGAAATTATTTTAAACGTTGCCCGTAGTCGTCTAAACTGACATCGTATTAATGAAAACTTTTTTTATTACAGCCGACGGTAGTCAGTCCGGAAAAGAAACCCGACGTTGTGAAGCTCGAAAGCGATAGCGCCGTTACCGATCCGAGTTGCGATCGGGTAGAGAACAACGGAGAGAAGGACGATGCAACGTCGAGCGAGGCGGTCAAACTAGAAACACCCGAAAAGGGTACGGAACCGATAGCCGCCACTTCTAGTTCGTCGAAGAGGAAGTACGGAGAGCTTAAGAACGAAATATCGGGCACTCCGGTGTTGAAACGGTTCTCGCCGTACGCCAATCGTCCGTCCCACGAGAAATTCGCCAAAGGCATGGTGGACATAATCGAACACGATACCTTGCCGGGCGCGGTCGGCACGTTCAACAAACTAAAAGAGATCCTCAAGGACGTCCGTATCAAGCTGGACAACGCGTTCTGAACGCGGTTTCCGTTAGTTGCTCGTGTGCAGCAACGATAAAATAAATCTTATAATTTTATGAAAACAATTATCCGGACGACAAATAATAACTGTTATTTTTTTTTTTTTATCATTATTATTATTATTAACTAACCAATCGAGTGCCATTTTGGTTGCACGTGATATTGTATCTTCGACGACGAATACCCAACGTGTAGTATCGACTATCAAAGAGGATTATTATGATTTTTTTTTTTTTTTCATTTTGACCAATTAATAACCGACAAAACAAATTTAGCCGAAATTTCTTTAGACAAACAAGTTTTTTTTCTCTTTTTTCATCATCAGGATTTTACGCTGTGTATATGTTATTATTATTTACCTTTTTGTTTTATAGTTTAATGTTTACGTTGAATCGCATGTGTTTGAAACGCGTCACTTAGGGTCGGTGTGGTTTTTTGTGATTTTTCATCTACTGTATAGATATAGTAACTGATTATTTTATTATATGCTTGCGATAAAGTATTCAATTCGTGTACAAAACAATATGTTGTTAATGTGTAAAAGATGTAAATTTATCAGCATACCGTGTCCGTCTCAAACGGTGTCAATCGGTCTTCCCAGTTGACGTTCAATCCAGTTGTGTCATACATTTTTTTTTTTGGTCTTAAGTTGTAATTTTTTTGACGTGTATAAAATATTTTATATCATGATTATATTATTATAGTTATAGTAATTGTATTCGGGTCACGTAAACTGACAAACGAGTCCACTTCCGATTGATATACGGAAACGATGTCTTGTAGTACTTTTTTTTTTTTATATAATGTGTGTTAACCTTTTTTATTATATATATATATAGTATATATTTATAAATGTATAAAATATGAATTCAATAATGTTTCGCGGTCGACAGTCGTCGTTGTTACCTCAATGTTTTTTTTTTTTTTAGATCTCATTCGTAGAGAGTGAAATATTAAGTGTTCTATCGTTGCAATGTTACCAATTACACGTAACTAAACAACAATATTGTTTTCGAATGCTGTATATACTGTAACATATATATATATATATATTTATATATTATAAAAAATATTACTATAATTTTACTAATTAATATCTATAGTTAATGTTTGAGTCGATATTATAGTGCCACAACGTATTTTTGTTTTATTAGTTAAATCGTTTGACACAAAATCAAAGTATAATAATAATAATAATACAACCTATTTGATCGTCGTCAAAGTCAATTTTCCGGTATAAATATAAAATAAAAAAGCAACTTTGTTTCGTTCATTGTAATGTAGTATATATTTAATTTGTCGCTAAATTATTTGTATTCCGTGTGACGCATGCTTAGAAATTGTTTTTTTTTTCTTTTCTTAAGTTTGAGTTTATTTCAATTTATGCTAAGTTAGACGTATTGTACCTACTTATAAACAATGTACAAAACTAATGTCGTTAGTATTTTAATCGCATTGTAAATTGACCAAAAGTAACGACTTAAGTTGAAGAGTGAAAGTGTCAAACGTGTCCAAGTGCCAAAGTATAAAAATTGAACTTTATAAATTGATTTGTATTTTATTCATTACCGGAAACACTTAAACATATTTTTAAGTTTTAAATATGATTGTTTTTCTTGTAAATAACTATTCTTTACTTGAAAAATTTACAAAATTGTCTCCGGTAATGAATAAAATACAAATCAAATTATAAAGTACAATTTTTATACTTTGGCACTTGGAACGTTTGACACTTTCACTCTTCAGTTAGTGTAAAAAGTTCTCATATTATTGTGTTCATAAAAGACGATTCGATAGCCTGGTTGTAATAATTTTTTTTTACTGAACTTGAGATATTTTAATGTAAGGTCATTTTTATACTTGTAATAATATTGATTTCCTTAAATTTGATAATTGTAAACATTGAAACGTTAGAGCAACGTTTTGATGTAGTTTGCCCCCATTTAACTACTTACCTGTTTCCAGACCAGGGTATTAATGTTAAACCCATTTTGTGTGAAATAATAAAAACATGAAAATGTTAATTCGATGTAGAATATTAATTAATTGAAAATACAAACGGTTTTATTTCTATAAGAACAAATTTTGACATTTTCACAACATAATATAACTCCCACATAATCTCCTTCCTGTCTTTTCCTTTTCAATTCCTGCACATACGGTGCATATATATATATATACATAGTATTAAAACAACAATTAAATTGTGCAAACGGTTATTTCGATACTAATTTGTACGATTATAAAATCGTACAAATCTGTATTTAATTGCTTAATATTAGTACATTTTTTTTCCAAAGGACGATATCCACCAGTGCAATGTTTTTTTTTTTTAATTACATTCTTTTAAAGAAATCTGAAGAAGTTTAAAAAATGTTGTTGCCGTGTCACGTTCTAAAATGTGAATGGAAAGCACTGGACTCCACATAGGTAGTATGTTGTGATTAAATCTATGGGACTCTGTATCCTAATATGACTTGATAATAACCTATAATAATATTCTTAAACTTATATACTTTAGTATATTCAAATTTAATTGTTGAATTTTTAAAATACTCCATAAATACATTTAAAACGGCAAGTATATTTTCTTGCTCGCTATTTATTTAATTATTTAAAAAAAAAACTTCAAATCAATATATATTTAAATAGTCACTTTTAAAATTATTGTATTATGTGTTATCAATCAAATCAAATTATATCAATGTCATCGTATATAAAACAATAGCCGACAAAAAAAAACAAACGTTTATTGTGGAAAAAAATGTAAAAAAACGGTGTAAAAAAATGCAAAAAGTTTTGGGTTGCGGTCTGATTGGATGGCGCGCCACTCGTAGGCGCTATCCCACTACTGCTGGCTTTGGCTGGTTAGGTTTTGGCTGCATAACAATTAACAAATAAATAAAAATTCAAACGGTAACATATTGTTAAATTTTTTGTCTACAAATTTATGCCATTGATATGTTGCCATTTAAAAAACCAAAAATCCCCCCTTTTTTTGGCTTATAAAAATTTTCAAAATATTGAAAAATGTAGTAAAATATGTACTTATAAGGAGGAAAAAAATCTCAAAATATACATATTTTCAGAGAAAATGAGTGTCTAACGTTAGTCGAATCACCCTGTATATTTATAATACTATAATTGATTGCAATTTGTTTGCGGAGGACGTTAGAACTATTCATTATGGAGCTTGGTATAGGTGAATTTTTTTTTTGTAAAATTTTAATTTTAAGCATACCGTGTAACTGTTGTTCATGGTTAGTATAGGGAAAAAAAACAAGTTACTTAGAGGTTAAAGTGTTTTTTTTTTAATTATCTAATAATACACACATAAGTATTTTTATCGAAAACAATTCAAACGTTTTAAAAAAATATCGTCTTGTATTTCCAATATTATTTTAAGCTTAACTAAATATTTTTCTTGTTCATTTTGGATTGACTTTTTTGTGTAAAACTGGAGTGGTTCGTTTTGGTCGAATAAAGGTCGATTATTCGTATAAATTGGGTGTTTGAATAAGAAAAAGGTTTACAAAACTAATAAAAAACAATGTCGTCGTATTTATCAATACTTACTTGAAAAACCGACAAAAAAAAAACAAACGTTTATCGTTGGAAAAACGTTGTAAAAAACGGTGTAAAAAAATGCAAAAAATTTTGGGTTGCGGTCTGATTGTATCGGCGGGGCTGCCATCGGGCGTTCCACTCGCAGGCGCTATCCCACTACTGCTCACCGCGGAGACTTTTGGCTGCTGGGTTTCCCCCCTGGCCCGGTGCGCCTCTCCTTAGCTAACCTGGGCACCGCGGGCTACCCCGCGGCGTCCATATTGACGACAAGCTTAGCGCGGACGTCCGTTCAACGCGGACCGACCCGCCGCAGTTGCCCCCACCTCAAACCATCCACGCAACCCGACCTCCAAAGCAGCTGGATTACAGGAGCGCGCCGCCGCTCCCGGTCGACGATGTTGATGAAAATTCTCCTATTTGAGTGCAGCAGTCGTTCGAACGCCGCGCCGCCGCCGCCGCCGCGCCGGTTCTCCGTATACACAGCGTGGCCGCCGGTATCAGCTCCTCCTTCTTATCAATTTGTATAATATAATATTATGTACATTATCGGTTGTGTATTAAATATACTTATATCATATAAAATATTTCATCAGTCGTTGCGTTAATCATTATTTTTGATTTTCTGCTAACACATTTTCTTGTACGGTTACACTTGTAATTCAATATTATTCTTTTCAGGTAATTGTATATTTGATTTTTACTATTTGAGTTATTGTAATATCGTGTATTGGAGTTTGTGTGTATCCTTTTCAGAATGATAAAATCTGTTAAAAACCACTTTATAATTAATGTTAGTCCGTGTAGTGAAGAAAATAACTAGTTTTTTTTCTCGTTTAATATGCCCCAAGAGAAGTTATAAATGTTTTGAAAAGTGAAATAATTAAATGAACTATGAAAAATAATAGATAATTAAGTGAATAATTTTAAATAACTAGTTAATCATTTCCGTACATTAAATAAGGATTCAAATAACCAAAACGAACCACTCCGGTTTTACACAAAAAAGTTAATCCAAAAAATTTTCATCACGAATAGAGGGATTTTTGGTTTTTTTTATTGGCAACATATGTAATCACATAAATTTGTAGATAAAAAATTTAAAAATATGTTAGCGTTTGAATTTTTCATTTTCATTTATTTGTTAATCTATTATGCAGCCAAAACCTAACCAGCGAAAAGCCAGCAGTAGTGGGGTAGCGCCTGCGAGTGGCACGCCGATCCAATCAGACCGCAACCGAAAACTTTTTGCATTTTTTTACACCGTTTTTTTACGTTTTTTCCACGATAAAAGTTTGTTTTTTTTTGTCGGTTTTTTAACTTATGTTGTTTATACGACGACATTGTTTTTATTGGTTTTGTAAACCTTTTTTTTTTATAACTTTTTAAATTCTAACAACTATAATTTGTACGAATTATTGACCTTTATTCGACAAAATCTACGCGATGCTTTATAAAATCGCAATACAGTTTTTTTTTTGTTATATCAACAATAAACTAATTAGCCTAAAAAAATTAAATATTCAAAAAAACTCGGGAGAAAATAAATTTTAATTAATGGGGGGTTTTTTTTTATTGGAATAATAATATTGTTAGAATCAAAGAATTATTTGTCGTCATTCGAATAATTATTTTAATCGACCAAATCTGTGATTATTTCTTCGAATAATATATGTTTTTTTTATTAAGATAGGCTTCAATTACAAAAATGATTAGCCAAGTTACATTAGGCAAAAGAAAAACAGGCCATTCAATTATGTAGGTACATATAAGATGAAATTTACAATTTGTTGAACAAGTTAATTGACAGGTAACTGTCTATTGTACTAACACTTTCTTATACGGTTACTATTGTAATTTAATTATTCTTTTCGGGTAATTGTATATTTTACTTACTTGTACTATTTTAATATTAGAGTTTTTGTGTATTCTTATCAGAATAATAAAATCTGTTAAAAACCACTTTATAATTAATGTTATTCCGTGGAGTGAAGGAAATAACTAGTTTTTTTCATTTAACATGCCTTAAGAGAAGTTGTAAATGTTTTAAAAAGTGAAATAATTAAGTGAATAATTTAAAACACACTTTAAAATAATTAATTTATCATTTCCGTACTTAAAATAAGGATTCAAATAACCAAAACGAACCACTCCAGTTTTACACAAAAAAGTCAATCCAAAATGTACAAGAAAAATATTTAGTTAAGATTAAAATTATATTGGATTTATATTTTTTTAAAACGTTTGAATTGTTTTTGATAAAAAATATTCTGTATGTATTATTAAATAATTTTGAAAAAAACACCATCGTCTATGTAACTTGTTTTTTTCCCATACTAACCATGAACAACAATTACACGGTATGCTTAAAATTAAAATTTTACAAAAAAAAAAAATCACCTATACCAAGTTCCATAATGAATAGTTCTAACGTCCTCCCAAACAAATTGCAATCATATATAATATTATAAATATACAGGGTGATTCGACTAACGTTGGACACTCATTTTCTCTGAAAATATGAATATTTTGAGATTTTTTTCCCCCTAAACTTTTAGGTACATATTTTACTAAATTTTTCAATATTTTGAAAATTTGAAAATTTTATCACCAAAACTTATAAGCCAAAAAGGGGGATTTTTGGTTTTTTAAACGGCAACATATGTTTTTAATTACCTAAATTTGTAGACGAAATATTCAAAAATATGTTAGAGTTTGAATTTTGAATTTTTATTTATTTGTTAATTTGTTATGCAGCTAAAACCTAACCAGCAAAAAAACAGCAGTAGTGGGAGCGCCTGCGAGTGCGCCAATCCAATCAGACCGCAACCGAAAACTTTTTGCATTTTTTACACAATTTTTTTTACGTTTTTTGCTATAATAAACATTTGTATTTTTTGTCGGGTTTTTAGCTATTGTTGTTTTTAGTTTTGTAAACCTTTTTTATAAATTATTTTATTTTAATTATGTCAAAAAAAAAAATAATTAGCATAAAAAAATAAAATATTCAAAAAAACTCGGAAGAAAATATATTTTAATTAATGGTTTTTTTATTATTTGAATAATAATATTGTTAGAATCAACGAATTATTCGTCGTCATTCGAATAATTATTATTTATTACTAATTCTCACTTTGATATAATACTGTCTTAATGTGCTGTGTTTCACATAATATATTTATTACTACGTTTATTAAGATTTTTAACAACTACTGTAAACATTTTTTTTTGTGTTATGAAAAACAAAAACTAAAAAAAAATAATCCAAACTTGTAATTTACACATGTTATTGAAAAGAAAACAGCTATGCAAATAAATTAACATAAGCAGCCATATGTCTTAAACGTTTAGATTTCACTGTTTCGGTCGACATAAAGCCCATAAAAAATTTGCAAGAAAATCACATTACAAAAGCTTATTCACAATCTGATTAAATGGTTTGCTTATAAAACGGTAACAAAATAGTAAGTACTGGGTTTTGTTAAGTTTGACTAATTAATTATTTTTCTATCTGATTATAAAAGCGATAAGTCAATTTCATTAAATCGCCAGTCAATATTAGATACAGAAATTGTACATACAGAAATCAACAGTTACTATATTGTATGCTATGTTATAGGACCAAAACAAAATTTAGCTGTTTTATTTACTCTTAATCTTATGAGCAACACTCACAGGCGGAGACACAACACAACATACCATTTTGATGAATAAATTATTACAATTGTTAAATACTATAAATGTATTATTATGTTACATTTTTTAGAAAATGTATTTAAGATCGTTTCACAGTTAAGTGCTTAAGTAATCACTTTTTCAATATATAGTAAGTATAGAAAGTTCATTGAATCTATTCTGTTCCATATAGATGTCCTTTACCAGCATTTAATTTTCCGCAAGTGTCAATGCAAGTTGGAGCAATTTTATAAAAATGATCAAATACTTTTTCGACACATCAATATCTCCTTTTCCCGGTTTGGCAAGACAGTTTTTAGCGACCTAAGGCTTTCTCGACAAATATTTAAGCCAGGTAAATCCGGAAATTGTATTTATAATAAAATAAAATAATTTAATCACAACATTTATAATTATTTTATTACATTTATTAAAATATAAGAAGTTAAATTACCTTATAATGATTTATGAACTGAGCACTAATAAACCACTAGTTTATATTATAATATTTTGGGGAGGCTAAATATTAAGAGCTCATATTTTGACAGTAATCTAAGCTACCTAAGCTTAATCTATTTTTCAAATGTAAAAAGCCCATCTTAAGAGGTGGCAGAGATCTGAGGGTTAGAAAAACCTGGTAAATTGGCTGGTCCGCTTAAATAGAAAAATATAATACATTATAATAAAATTACAATGTAATACGAGTAAGACCTCAAGTATCAAATAATAAATAGATAGTAGATAAACAAAAACAACCATGAATAAAACTCAAAAATGTTCTAAACAATTAATCAAATACAATTTTTTTTTTTTAAATAATAGCCATCTCTGAATTAAAATATAAATAAATTAAAAATATACCTCGTCTGTCCATTCCGTAGCACCATTTCAATGTAGTTTATTAATGACGGATGACCCAACTTTATTGTAATACCGTCGTCGGTTTTAAAGATAATTGAATTGTCTTGAATCAAATTTATGGTTTTTCAAGTTAGGTTACAATTAGAAAGTAAATGTATCACTTCCAGATACAATAATTTCTGAAAACTTGTGGACCTATAATCTACCTAAATGTAGGAGGGATAAAATTTAAACTTGAACGGTTTTGTGTATAACTGGTCGATCATCAGTTTTAAATTATTAATTTTTAAATGTTTAGAGTTTAAAGTCAAAAACGGTATGAATGGTAGACCGTATTATTGTTTTAACACGGATATGTTATTGAGCTGGTACAAGAAATTCACCATTTTGTCACCATTTTCGCGTTATACTTTCACTTTCAGGTAAAGATAAGACATTAGAGATACAATTTAAGTAATAACAGGTAACAGATATACTGTAGGTATGGATAACATATCCCTGATTCAATTTTTCAATAACTAGTTTTTTTAAATAAAAAATAAATCATAACGAGTAACGTTTCAGACTGCAAATGTTTTGTAGTTCCTCCAAAAACAAAATTATTTTTACTATAATCACTATTCATGAGCCAGCAGGCTAAAGCTTGTACCATGTTTTAAAATTTTATCCGTTGGGCTATAAGTAGACTGTAACTTCATCAAGTTATTATTACTCAGTACTTACTTACAGTTATTATATATATACATGAATTATATTATATTGTTGTTATTATATTACAGTATCAAAACGAAGAATACCCATGAAACAGTGTCGTGAGACGGTTTTAACTGAATAATATTATAAAGAATGTATATAAATGAATGCGAAAAAAACATTAGAGTTATGTGAATACATTATCTCTTACCTTGGGTCATTCTTTATATATCTATAACAATTAAGAATTTAAAATTAAGGAAATTGAATAATTATTACATTTTTTAATTAAAATAATTGTAACGACAGGTTTATTTTAATTACATTTTTTTTCAAATTTAACCAGGTTCTGTCAAATGTTCACAATTATTTTGAAAATGTTGCATTAATTAAAAAAAAAAAAATAGAAATAATATTATTTTCAGGGTCATGACGAAAATTAGCCCGTTAAAACGCTGCATTGTGTCAGTGAATTTGTTTCTAACTCATCACTACAAATTTTGCAGACGTGGACTGTAGTTTTTCTTCTATTTTTTTAAATGTCACTATAACTTCTCTAATTGTCTTCTTGTATTTTTCTAATAGTCGTTTTACAAAATACGAGATATTTCCTTAATACTATTATTCTTGAATTTTTGACGAGTAAATTCAATTAAAATGTCTGACTTTTAGTTAAAATTACTATATTAAAGTTATTTTAGGATTGGACTATATTCGATACTATGGAAATTCAAGCGGACCGTTGGCATGGGTTGTTGGACAACTCGAAAAGCAATGTCAGTTTGGCCCACGATAATATACTGACGAAAGGTCGGTGCTCTTCGGTGATTCGCGAATACTGGACACATTGGATCACGCTATCTGTCTTAATGTTCGCCATGTACTTTGTGATCTGCATGTATTTAGAGGTAAGTATTTTGACCATAAGTGTATAATACCCAATGAATAGCAATTCGCTGGAAAAAATCATCAAGTTCCGAGCCATAGTTATGAGTTTCTAAATTTAAAAATAAGATTTATTCTCTTGGTATTAAGATGTACTAGGGTACAATGTCTGTATACTGATGTGCTTTTCTTTCTCTGCAAAGTGGTCGTACTACGTAAAGCGCAGAGAAAACTCCGCCGATTGGAAGTGCCAGCCAACCAAATGGCCAAAACGAAGCGCTCGGCTGAACGAAATCAAACACAGTCTCACCGCGCTGACGACCATCACTGCCACGGTATCAGTTTATTCCACATACATAGCCTGTGGGGGACACAGTTCACTTTACTTGGACTTTGACGCTTACCCTCGGACGTGGTGGATTGTTCAATGGCCGCTGATACACATTACCACGGTCTTTATTTTTTTATTTGTATACGTTAAGACTTCTTGGTTGACCCTCTGCTTAAAATTATAATCATCTTAAAATCCCATTGTCTTAACTGTCACACGTGACAGACATCCAATGCCATGAGCCGTTTCCTAGCTGTATCCGGTAGTATCCAGAATCCTCTCCGTCCGACTTCGAGGGCCCTAGGAGCTGTGATGATCACAGCTTAACCCAAATTGCCCTGAGTGAACCACTCCTCGGTGGTTATTAGAGTGTAAAGTTCTTCTACTAATACCACGAGTGCAGTAAGAAAAGTGTAAAAGTACAATTAAAGAGTCATGAAAGCTTTTGTTGGTCATCTGGGCTTACAGCACAGTTATTCCACCACAAGCTTAATGATTCGGTTCAACACTCCTAACTCCATATTTTGGTCATCCTCTTTCTGGAGAATAGTGTCACACCTTTCTCTTTGTTCCTTACCCGGCTAGCAAGTACGGCTTTTAGCTATCCTAGAACAATATGATTTGATGCGACGCTGCCAAATTTGTTAAATCCGACAATTTGCAAATCGTAAGAGCCACGTGTAAACGTTGATTGGCTTGAGCTTACCAAGAAACACATTTGGTTCGTCTCAGGGTTTATTTTTTAATTGTTTAACTACTTTACTCCGCAGGATTACAGTATATATTGGTTGCACCGAATGTTTCATACACGGTTTCTGTACAAACACGTACATGCCTACCACCACAGATATAATCAACCTAACCCGTGGAACGCGTTTGCAGTACACCCTATTGAAATCATAACCAACGCATTAGCTGAGATAGCACTGTTGTTCGTAGTACCAATACACTGGCGTGAGTACAGTCTATTGCTGATCAATGCTGAAACACCTGATGATATTTTAAGCGTAGCATATTTAACATGTTACATTGCCATTATTAATTATGATTGTCTGTATTTCATTATGACTACGGCCGTTTCAGTTCCTTACGCCGCGGTTTTGGGTTACTCCGCATACCAGAACATCATCCAACATTCTGGCATCGATTTCAAACCATCGTGGTGGGAAATTGGGAAACCAGACGTAATGTTCCACGATTATCACCATTTAAACAGCAGAGTCAACTTTGGTTCAACCTGCTACGTGTGGGACCAAGTAAACTGTTACAATGAATACTAAATGATTTGTTATAAAACGTACACAAGGCGTTCAGAATTTCGTGTAACGCTTGACTTTTTTGATACTGTACTAAAATTATAATAGAATTGACTCGTGTAAAAACATTCCAAACTTTTAACAAACAATAATAGTTTGCCAAAAATGTTAACTGGGCGATAACCAATTTTTAATAACGATTACCTTTGAAAAGTTTTTATTTAAAAAACAGGATAGGAGTTGGAATGCGGTTGAGTAATGTACACAGGTAAAAAAACTTATAATTATTTTATCCTCCCCAGGGATAACGAATTTAATCATTGATATATTATATATCTCTTATTCCGAATATCTTCTCACATATTTCTAATATCTTATCACTTATTTATATTATATAATATCTCATATCTAACAAAGTGAAAGTGTAACGTGAAAATGTTGAAATTTCTTGTACCACCCCAATAACATATCCATGTTAAAACAATAATACGGTCCACCCTTCATACCGTTCTTAACATTAAATTCCAAAAAGTTAAAAAATAATAATTTAAAACTGGTGATCGACTAGTTACACACATTCAAGTAACACACAGTTCAAGTTTAAATGTTATCCCTCCTACATTTAGGTAGATAGGTATATAAGTCACAGGTTTTCAGGAATTATTGTATCCGCAAGTGATACATTAACTTTCTAACTATAATAATTATTGCACTATTGGTCTAGACACTAAATTTCAAGATATAATAGTGTTTACAACATTGTTAACTGGTTAAATCGTTGCTAACTAAAAGAAAATTAATTACTATGTGGCATAGGGATTGACACATTTAATATGATAATGATAATTCCATACAAACTGTTTTATGTAAATAAGTCAAGTGCTACTCGTAATACTTTACTTATTATTTTTGTTTATAGATTCATGGTACCATGAGTAAATCGAATAACCAGTCTTCGAAAAAGTCCAAGGACCCTTCGGTAGTTGATCCGTCGTCGGTCAATAAGTAAACGTTTGTTAAGTATATTTGGTGGAAATATGAACAAAAAATCTTACTAGAACTTGATTTTATCCGACTTAGTGTTGGTATACATTTTACGTTAATATTTATTTATGTTGCTGAATAGATGGTTTAAATTTAAAAAATATATACACATATACAGGGTGATCCAACTAATGTAAGACACTCATTTTCTCTGAAAATATGAATATTTTGAGAATTTTTTTCCCCGTAAAATTTAGGTAAAAATTTTACTACATTTTTTAATATTTTGAAAATTTTTACCACCAATCCTGGCAACATACGTTTTTAATTGCATACATTTGTAGACAAAAAGTTTAAAAATATGTTAGCGTTTGAATTTTTTATTTTCATTTATCTGTTTATTAGCCATGACCATTTAAATATACTACATTTCTTCTTAATAATTATCATATTTCTTAGGTTTTGAAAAACCGGTAGCACATAAAATTCATATTTATATTCGCATTGTCCAATTGCCGATAACATTCTAACAACTAGGAAGTCACTATAAAAAATGTTGAAATAATGTTAGTTAAACGGTTCTTATCTACAGATTAATTCGATTACAGATGATTGATATCTGATTGTGATACAGATCAAACGCTAACGTATTTTTAAATTTTTTGTCTACAAATTTATGTCATTAAAAAACAAATATCCCCCTTTTTGATTTATAAGGATTGGTAGTACAATTTTTCGATATATTGAAAAATGTAGTAAAATATGCACCTAAAAGTTTAGAGAAAAATTTCTCAAAATATTCATATTTTCGGAGAAAATGAGTGTTTTACGTTAGTTGGATCACCCTGTATACTTAAAATATTATATTTGATTGCAATTATTTTAGGAGTACGTTAGAACTATTTTCTTTGGAGCTTGGTATTGGTGATTTTTTTTGAATATGTATTTTAATTTTAATACTGCACCATCTTTTCGTATACTTGATATGTGATGTACTATAAACTAATAATTGTTTAAAAATATGGTGTACGATTTTTTGTATAGGTACATAATCATGTTACTGTTGTGTATTGTTAAAATTAAAACACAGATTTGTATCTTAATTTCATTCATCTTGATCGTACCCGTTATTTGTTTTAATAAAACAGTTTTTTTTACTATAAATCGTACGCTGCAGAGTAGTGTGTAAGATTAGTATTCTATATAATATTATTATTATGTATGTGTATCAAGAAGGAGCGCAGTTTTAGAGGTAAACGAAAATAGCAACCAGTTTTTTTAGTTTTCTCCAAAGTGTTTTCGAAACCTTAAAGATAACGTTTATTCATACGTTTATTTATTAATAAATATATGGTATATAAAAAAGAATAATGTAATTTGATGATACTATCAGTAATATTATTGGTAGGCGCGCAACGAACAAGTGCTTAAAATTATAATTTGGTTTAAACGGCTAAAGTCTGAGCCAATGAGTCTGCCATGGTAAAATCTGTTTTTTTGTTCTCTTGAAAAAAGAAATTCGCTCTTAATTTTCGTCATAATGATACAAAAAAAATATATATTCGAGTATTTCTTTTACCGCACGACCGTCTGCAACGACATTGGAATTTAATGTTACTTGATTGGGAGCCTCTAAATACACACAACGAAAATCCTACAACATAAAAGAGTCATTCAAAGTTTATAAAAAAACACACTTACTTCAATTAAACTCACACGCCCTGAACTCTAAACTCCAATAATACGAATGTACACTATCGGCCTGGGTTTAAATTGCAACACCTGCCAAGATCGTGCCAGCTCCTTGGATTTGTTTAAAATCATTTCCCAGTTTTGATTATTGACAGAAGCTTCAATGATGTAATTATAAACTCAGGTATTGTCGCCCCAAAGCAGCATCCTGTCAATTATGTCAATAATAGTATTTTACGGTTTAAAGTCTATCACTGTTGTATACAATAATCACTTATTAATTAAATACTACAACTTTCAAAAATTGTTATTAGAATCCAAATCATGTAAATTTTGTTTCGGTTTATTTTTGTTTAAGTCGTCCATTTACACGACGATTGCTATTTGGTTTAATGAACATCTTCTTCTTTATCTTTGCCTTACACTCCCAACTACATGGGATCGGCCACCCTAGTCCTACATTTAAGTAGTGCTCGATCTCCTACATCTCGGTCAATCACCCCAGCTATACTCTTTCATTCGTCCATCCATCTTTTCTACGGTCTTCCTCTTTCTGGTTTTCCCTCTACATTATTCTTTAGAACAACTCTCACAGTATGCCCCATCTCTTCTCATAACATAACCATCTCAACCTATTCTCTCTCATTTTTCCACTATTGAAGCAACTCTTAGACTCCCCTTATGTATTAGTTTCTTATTCTAGTCATCCCACTCATCCTCCGTTCAGTTTTCCTATCAATGGCCCTAAATTGTGACCCATATAACATTGCTGGCCTCATATAGGCACATCTTGCTCCTCTCCACTTCATTTATCTACAATTTATTCTATTTTTCACGACCTCCTCATAGCCACATTTTTTTTGTACTACCGATCCTAAGTACTTGAACCTATAAATCTTCCACACTTCATCATGGGCCATCTGAATTACTTGTCTATAACATTTAATTAACCATGATTGTGGCAGATAGTATAACTGTATTGTTTCGGAGACTTGGGCTCTGAGAAAGAATTAAGAACCAAGACTTGCAATTTTGAGCAAAAAACGATAATAGGAATTATTTATAAATGTATGAATTAAAGAAACTTATTCCAACGACCCGAAATTATAAAAAAAGAATGATCAAAAAAAGTCTTATGTGAGCCAGGCCAGCATAAATATAAAATTGCTATACAAATTTTAAGATATTTAAACTATTACCTCATTGAACTAAGCATATATGGTTGCGAAAGTTAAACCACTATAGAACCCAATACCAGCAGATGGTATGTAGCAATATAATAACTATAAAAGACTTTATCCCAGTCTTTATAATTGTCATCTAACAGCGTAAGGCTACTTGAATGATTTTCTCCTTTGATTAAAAAGGCGTTCATAGTTCTTGAAGTGACATTATACTTAGGAACTTGATTGGAATTAGTCAATTAGATAAATATACAATTTTTATTTATTATTATTAAATGAACAGAGTTATTTTACGTTTACCTACTCACAAAACCGTTTTTGATTTTCACCAAGTGCATTTCGTAAGTACTGTACATGACTTTGCAAAATTTAAAAGTCGCATTAGCAGTAATTTTGATGCCAACAATATGTATGTACCGAACTATGAGTGGATGAATCCATAAACGTTGAATTGATCGACATTTATAATTTGAATGATCTATGACACGCATCCAATCGTGTCCGTCCAATGATACTTCAACGTAATAAGAGTAAGACCTTAAGTATCAAATAACAAATAGATAGTAGATAAATAAAACCAATCATGAATAAAACTCAAAAATGTTCTGAAAAATTAGGTATTTAAATACAACTTTTTTCTGATTTAAAATATAAATTAATTAAAAATATACCTCGTCTGTCCATTCCGTAGCACCATTTCAATATAGTTTATTAATGACAGATGACCCAACTTTATTGTAATACCGTCGTCGGTTTTGAAGATAACTGAATTGTCAAAGTAGTTGACATTAACGCAATTGTCTAAATAAAAAAAAGTGTTATGTTATTTTCAATTCCACGGCATCCGAAATAGTATCCGAACTGACCATCTGCGATTCCCTAACCTCGGATAGTTCTTCATCACTCGTTAACGAATATCTGACGGCAGATAAAGCTTTGTTTTTATTATCAGGATCTACGTAATTTTGGTTCTCATCGATCCAGCGACGAACCGCACGGAATATGTCCATTTCGAAAGCATAAAACGAGTCGCGGATGAGAATTTCTTGAAGAGCTCCTTGAAAAAAAAATAAGATTGTTTCTTAACTTGTCACCCTAAATGAGTAATATTGCTTTAACATGTATACTATGTTATTGGGCTGGATACAAGAAATTTCATGTGGTCATTTTCGCGTTACACTTTCACTTTGAGGTAAAGATAAGATATTAGAGATAAAATATAAGTGACAACAGATATGCTGTAGTATAGATAACATATCCCAAATTAGATGTTTTTCCGCGAAGGGGAGAAAATACGTAGTGTTACAATAACACACATATGGTGTATATAAAGTTTACAGATAGAATCAGCCCAGAACCCTCGAACCAAATGCTATTATTGTCAGACTACAAGGTTGTTCACGCGCACGCTACTGCCCGATTGTTTACAAAACCATCTTGTTTTTCAACGACTTCCTGTTTACTAAGAATTTTTATTGTAAAAAAAAACCAATATATATAATATATAACTAATTAATATTGTTATTGTAACAGTGCATTTTTCGTTAACCCATCACTACATAATATGCAGACGTGGACTGTAGTTTTTACATCTATTTTTCTAAATGACTTTAAAACTTCACTAATTGTCTTCTTTTTTTTTCCTAATGGCCGTTTTACAAAAGACAAGACTTATTCCTTATTACTGTTATTTTTGAATTTATGACGAATAAATCCAATTAAAATGTCTGACTTTTAGTTACAATTACTATATTAAAGTTATTTTAGGATTGGACTATATTCGATACTATGGAAATTCAAGCGGACCGTTGGCATGGGTTGTTGGACAACTCGAAAAGCAATGTCAGTTTGGCCCACGATAATATACTGACGAAAGGTCGGTGCTCTTCGGTGATTCGCGAATACTGGACACATTGGATCACGCTATCTGTCTTAATGTTCGCCATGTACTTTGTGATCTGCATGTATTTAGAGGTAAGTATTTTGACCATAAGTGTACAATACCCAATGAATAGCAATTCGCTAGAAAAAAATCATCAAGTTCCGAGCCATAGTTATGAGTTTCTACATTTAAAAATAAGATTTATTCTCTTGATATTAAGATGTACTAGGGTACAATGTCTGTATACTGATGTGCCTTTCTTTCTCTGCAAAGTGGTCGTACTACGTAAAGCGCAGAGAAAATTTCGCCGATTGGAAGTGCCAGCCAACCAAATGGCCAAAACGAAGCGCTCGGCTGGACGAAATCAAACACAGTCTCACTGCACTAGCGACCGCCACTGCCGCGGTATCAGTTTATTCTACATACTTATTTTGTGGTGGACAAAATTCACTCTACTTGGACTTTGACGCTTACCCTCGGACGTGGTGGATTGTTCAATGGCCACTGCTACACTATTCCCAGGTCTTTATTTTTTTATTTGTATACGTTAAAAACTTCTTGGTTGACCCTCTGCTTAAAATTATAATCATCTTAAAATCCCATTGTCTTAACTGTCACATGCGACAGACATCCAATGCCATAAGCCGTTTCCTAGCTGTATCCGGTAGTATCTAGAATCCTCTTCGTCCGACTTAAAGGGCCCGAGGAGCTGTGATGATCACAGCTTAACCCAAATTGCCCTGAGTGACCCACTCCTCGGTGGTTATTGGAGTATGAAAGTTCTTCTACTAATACCACGAGTGCAGTAAGAAAAGTGTAAAAGTACAATTAAAGAGTCATGAAAGCTTTTGTAGGTCATCTGGGCTTACAGCACAGTTATTCCACCACAAGCTTAATGATTCGGTTCAACACTCCTAACTCCATATTTTGGTCATCCTCTTTCTGGAGAATAGTGTCACACCTTTCTCTTTGTTCCTTACCCGGCTAGCAAGTACGGCTTTTAGCTATCCTAGAACAATATGATTTGATGCGACGCTGCCAAATTTGTTAAATCCGACAATTTGCAAATCATCAGAGCCACGTGTAAACGTTGATTGGCTTGAGCTTACCAAGAATAACATTTGGTTCGTCTCAGGGTTTATTTTTTAATTGTTTAACTACTTAACTCCCCAGGATTACATTATATATTGGTTGCACCGAATGTTTCATACACGGTTTCTATACAAACACGTACATGGCTTCCATCACAGATATAATCTACCAAACCCGTGGAACGCTTTTGCAGTACACCCTATTGAAGTCCTAATTAACACGTCTGCACAGTTAGCACTATTATTCGTCGTACCAATACACTGGCGTAAGTAAAGTCTGTTGCTAACCAATGCTGAAACACCTAATGTTATTTTAAGCATAGAATTTTTACGATGTTATATTGCTATTGTAAATTTATATTTTCTGTATTTCATTATGACTACGGACGTTTCAGTTCCATACGCCACGGTATCGTTTTACGCCACATACTTCTTCATCGTTCAACATTCTGGCATCGATTTCAAACCATCATGGTGGGAAATTGGGAAACCAGACGTAATGTTTCACGATTATCACCATTTAAACAGCAGAGTCAACTTTGGTTCAGCTTGCTACGTTTGGGACCAAGTAAACTATTACAATGAATACTAAACGATTTGTTATAAAACGTATTCAAGGCGTTCAGAATTTCGTGTAACGCCTGACTTTTTGATACTGTACTAAAATTATAAAAAATTGATTCGTGTAAAAACATTCTACACTTTTATGAAACAATAATAATTTAATAACGGATAAAAAATGTAATCGTGGATATATTATTTTTTATTGCTTATATCTTATCACGAATATCGTATCACTTGATTTTAATATCTTATCACTTATTTTAAGTATCTTATCTCTTATACTAATCTCTTATCTCTTATCTTTAACTGAAAGTGTAAGTGAAAATGGTGTTGTGAAATTACTTGTATCAGCCCAATAACATATCCATGTTAATACAATAATACGGTCCACCCTACATCCCGTTCTGAACTTCAAACACTTTAAAAGTAATTATTTAAAACTGTTGATTGACCAGTTATATACATAATCGTTCAAGTTTAAATAAAGGTAGATATAGGTCACTGGTTTTCAAAAAAATATTGAATCTAGAAGTGGTACATTAACTTTCTAACTAGAACCTATCATGAAAACCATAAATTTTGATTAATATTTATTGCACTATTGGTCTAAGCACCAAATTTCAAGATATAGTGTGTACAACGTTACTAACTGGTTAAATCGTTGTTAACTGAATGAAAATTAATTACTGTTTGTTATAGGGATAGACACATTTAATATGATAATGATAATTTCATACAAACAATAAACTGTTTTATGTAGATCAGTCAAGTGCTGCTCGTAATGTTTTGCTTATTATTTTTGTTTATAGATTCATGGTACCTTAAGTAAATCGAATGACCAGTCTTCAAAAAAATCCAAGGACCCTTCGATAGTTGGTCGGTCGTCGGTCAATAAGTAAACATTTGTTAAGTATATTTGGTGGAAATATGAACAGAAAATCTTACTAGAACTAGATTTTATCCGACTTGGTGTTGTTGTATATTTTACGGTAATATTTAATAACCTTGCTAAATAGAAGACGGTTTAAATTTAAAAAAAATATACACTTATATATTTATAATATTATATTTTATTTCAATTATTTTGGGAGGACGTTAGAACTATTCATTTTGGAGCTTTGTATAGGTGATTTTTTTGTAAAATTAAAATTTAAGCATACCATGTAATTAGTTGGTTCATGGTTAATATGGGAAATAAACTAGTTACTGAGAAGAAATAAGGTTTTTAATTTAAATTATTTAATAATACATACATAATTATTTTTATCAAAAATATTGGCTTGTATTTTCAATTTAATTTTAACCGTAACTGTTAAGATAACGATTTTAAAAATATATTTCTTGTACGTTTTGGATAACTATTTTACTTCTTCCATATCTACAACATAGAAGACTATTTAATAGAAATAGTGCATTTTGATGTGATTACTGGTTGGTGCATATTCGATTAACATGAGTAATATAACGGTTTTGTGTAAAACTGGAGTAGTTTGTTTTGGTTATTTGTGTCCCTATTTAATGTATGTCTGTTATCTCTTATCACTTATATTGTATCTGCAATATCTTATCTCTTACCTGAAAGCGAAAGTGTATCACGAAAATGGCGACATGACATTTCTTGTTTCTAGCCCATTAACATAGCCACGTTAAAAGTGATTTACATTAACATTAAAACCATCATAAATTGACGGCAAATGTTTTTTTAAAAATATTATTAACCGCCAAAACCAATAAAAATATAATTTGTCCGGTTTTACATAAAAAATTCAGCCCGTCTTAAACGTGTGGTTTTCTGTCCCTTATCAGCCATCTCTTATCAGCTGCCTTTTTTTATGAGTAGATGATCTTATCAATAATCTGTTATAAGTTATTATATTTGATTTAAGTTTTTTTTTCGTCAAATTCTCTCACCGGCAACAAGAGCAAGAAATCTTCAGACTTCAGTACAGCCAAAGCGTGGACATCGATTATGTTCAGTGATTCGATTGCCAGTTCTTTGTATTGATAAAGGCGAGCAACAGTAAACGTCGAGCATGCATTGTGCACATTAATGTTGTTTCGCAAATACCGGTACAGCGCATGTTTCAGGTGTGAAAAACCAAAAATATCCGAGAGACTAAATAACTCCAAAATGACTTGGTTCTAAAGAGATAAAATTATATTTACTGTATGTAATAAAGCTCTCAAGGACTGAGACATAACATTAAATGACGTCGAATATACTTTACCTCTAGTATACTTAAATCCATTCGACCGGAATAAATATACCGAAGAAGTGTTTTAAACGAAGTTACTGATGCTTCACTTATCGTTACTTCCTTCTGACGGGATTCCTTAAGACCGCCGTACAATAAAGCGCTAAAAATAGTAAAAGAATTATTACAAGCACATTGAGTTATCTGCAAGGCACAGTCTATTGAAGTAAAGAAATTTACCGACTGCAAAAACATGTTTACAAGTCTAAAAGTTACTTTCCTTTATTGTCGGTAAGTTAGATAATGTTCACAATATAATGTTCGAAACCAAATAATTATACAAAAATATTTATTGTAATATTTTGTAAATATAGGCGTAATTGTAAGGTTAGTTTCTGGTGTTAAGATCACTCAGGCTTACTTCTTTATCGGTAATAAACGGTAAAATATTAAATCATAATAATTCATTTGAACATAATAAAGACTTGTCATTGTAAATTAATGCATAATAAGCATGCAACTAAAACTAATATAACAAAAGTGTAAATATCATAAGGTGACGGTGCGTTTTTTTATTAATGAAATTTAGCCTGGTCATTTTAGAAAAATAACAATTTCATATTTTTTAATAATACTTACAAAATTGCAGTTACATTTATATCATAAATTAAACACCCTGTTTATATATAAAAATAATTAATCTCCAAAATATAATCTCCAACCAGTAGTTTCTTTTTTTAAAAAAAAAAGAAGTTTATCTTTGTAAATTGCCGCAAACTGTAGAATATAATACTATAGTTTTAATAATATTAAATACATTTGTAATACAATTTTTATTAGCACTATAAAAATGAAATACCATTTCGTTATGATTATTATCAAAGGAGTATATTTAATTTTAAGTATTAAATACCTGAAATAATCACTGCGTGAGGCTAACACAGCACGGTGGACGGGCAACCATTCATCTTCTACAACTAAAAAAAACATCTGTAGAACTAAAATAAATATTATCATCAGGTAATCATGTGTTGGATATGTTATCTTTTAATACTTATTTTCTTATCACTTATCTCTAACTGAAAGTGAAATAGTAACATGAAATTTCTTGTACCCAGCCCTATAATATCTTCATTTCATTAATATTAAACTATGTATAATTTATCACTAGTTTAAATAGTGTTAACTTTTTTATATATAGTAGAAATGACATGATTATTCCGAAAGTTTTATGATATGTTATCTCTTATCGCATACTATTTATCACTTATTTCTAATATCTTGTCTCTTATCTCTAAACTCTTACCACTTATCTCTAATCTGAAATCTCTCATGTATAATTTAACACTATTTTATCTAGTTTTAAATGTTTTTTTTTTATACAGTAAATATGACTGATGTTAATTGCAATAGATTTACTCTCGACAGGTATAGAACATGCTAAAAAAGAAAAAAAAAAGCAAATAAAAATACTTGAATTTGCAAACGAGCCGGTACACACCAGCAGCCTTAACTAAACTTCCAATTAGTTTTTGCAAACAATGACAAATTCGCTTACCACACTCTCCCTACATTCAACATAATATGATAATATAATAGGTCAATTAGAAGAAGATTACCACAGTTCAATTACAAACTTATTGGGCTATCCACTATCATTAGGAAGCTAAATGCCGTGGATAGTAGTTGAGTTAATTATGTTGTTAGTAATAATTATGTACACGAGTCATGATATATAAGTCATCAAATCAGAAGGACCGAGGTTGTGTCGTTATGTTTAAAAAATATTATTTACCTGGATTTGAACTTAAAACGATTGAGGTTAAAAAAAAATTTAACACCGTCGTGTTGCACATATCAATATGATGTCAAGTACACGTCTTATACACTTTATAAAACCTTTTTTCGAAAAAAAAACCTGGCCAATAGCAATTTATTGGAATCCAATTTGAATATGTATTTTATTGTTCTATACTCGATAGGATGTATCGTAAACGAATAATATTGTGTATATTCAATTGGTGAACGTTTTTTCTGCAGATAAATAAACATAATATGATGACGTTTGAAATTAAAACGCATTCATGTCATGCCAACACTTTAGGACGGTTTAAAAACTTCTAACCTTTTTCAAAATTCAAAAGTTCGCGCTATGTATTTAAAATAAAAATTAAAAAAAAACCATTATCACATCGCATAATTGAACCTCTTAAACCGTAAACGCCCAATTGCCATTCCAATGGCATAGTCTTTAAAAATAATTAAAAAAAACCAGTTATTTTCTCAGCTCCACGGAAAAAAACATTAAATCACGGATATTTTATCTCTTACCTCTTATCACTAATTGAAATTGATAGTGTATCACTTATCACTTTTGTATATTATCCCTTATCATTATCTCTAATATGTTATCTTTGATCTCCAATCTTTTACCTTTTGTCGCTTATATCTTACCTCTAATCTTCACAGATATGCTTAGATATATTATATTTATAGCCTTATTTTTTTATTACAAATGTTTAAATAAATAATAGTTCAACTAAACCTGATTAAACTAATCGTTTATTTTTTTTTTATTAAAATGAGCCAACAACCACATTAATTAAGCTTTTATGCTTTACTTTATATAATTATTCAACAAAGTCTTGCCATTGCAATGGCACTGGACACTCAAAGGGTCATATAGATATAGGGACAATATAGATTGTCGTGGAAAATATATGTTTGTCATAATCCAAGTACCTGATGTACTTTATGTTCCTATACAAAGTTAATAAAATGCTATATACATTACCATTTAAGTTTCAAAAGTTATATAATATAATATAAATAACAGATTTCTAGAAAAAACTGTTAAGCAAATTTATGGTTAAATATCTTTACAACAGATTTCTACTTCTTCTAGGGAAAACGGCGGTCAATGATATTTTTTATCAGTTTATCGGTAGTACTAACTAATTCGACTATTCTTTTAAAGAAGTTTTACCTATTTCAAGTTGAAATATAATATGCACATGTTTTGTGGCGTTTTTATGAAATTTGGAGTGTAAGGGTGGGATATTTTAATTTTGTGCCCCTATTAAGTACCTCGTGGGGATGATATCTGATCTGTGGACTCGAACGAGTCGGTTAAGCGTCTCAAGGAGTTCTGAAGGTTGAACAAAATAAGCATTTGAAACAATTTTTCAACTGTTGTGTAATGTTTTTTGTACGACATAATTGCGCTTTGTGCAACCCTATTTTTTTTTAAAACTTTTTTTTTTCTTTCCCAGTCGAAACGAGATGGTAATTTTCCTCAACAATATCGGCTATATATCACTTTCACGAGTCGTGCACTGCTTTAACAACAGCAGCAGCAGCAAGACCATTAGGCAAATTATCTGTAACGAATGGCGAAAAAGGCTTAGGCAAGGGGAAATTTTTTTTTGTATATATTTTTCACACGGTTTAATTTAAACGTCACAATACTGCGCCGACAAATCAACCCCGAGCCCTCCAAGTGAGATAGTGTTGAAGAGACACCAAAGTATTTATATACTGTATATCATTATATAAATCTCTGTGAGCGCACCCGAACGGATCCAATTACACGGTACGCTAAACCCTATCCCTCGCCCCTTATATAGCCGGCCGGCTTTCCCTAAGTCCCCGGACGTCTCCCCTCGGTCTTCCACACAAATACTGCGCCGCAGTGGTTCAAAATCACATAGCGATTGGCCAAAAAACTCAGAAAAACTAATTTTTCCCATTTAAGTCATCGATTTTAGCTCTAACCGAGGCAAGGAGCTAAGAAGGTATTGTTCGTACAACGCTGTAGTGTTCTGTTTTTTTCAGTTTATGTACACAGCTGTGTTCTTTTGGATTTGCTGCCCTAAACAACTTCTTCGGCTTGTTGTCGTTGTAAATAGCGAAATTGGTGTCAGAGCGCCGATTAAAAATAGAAAATTAACAATATTAAAACATTTATAGTAAAACCTTATAATTTTTTATTTATATTTTAGCTTTATATATTTTTATGTATCATTTTCAATAACTGTGATTTTTAAATTATTTTTACATTATAAATTCACTGCTTGCCTAGTATTTAATAATTTTATATAAAAACTAGTTTTTTTTTTTTAAGTACAATAGTTTTAAGCATAAAAATGTTTTTAAAAAGTTTTATTATTTTATTTGAATATTTAAAAAAAATGTTCAATGGTTAGGTTATTATATATTATTTTTTTGCCCAATAAAGTACCTTACTATTCCCTTATAGTGTGGCTACTCTAAAAAAACTTTAAAAATGATGTAAAAAATTCAAAAAATTTGGCTTGTGGTCTCATTGTATTGGCGAGGCTGGAAACGAGTGTGTTCCCCCTTGCAGGCACTTAGTGATCCCCACCGCTCTCGGTCGACAATTTAGTTGAAAATACTTCTATTTAAGTACAGCAATTATTGCAAGTTAGTCGCTAGTCAATTCTAATTTTTCATAATATGATTATTTTAGTAGTACCTATCGATTACAGAATAATCGGCATGGGCGAGTTTGATATAGAGATAGCAACATATCATATTAAGAGTTTATGACATAAGTTTATAAATATTATAACTGACCGTTTCTCTATTATAAGATGATGTTAACACTAAACACTTTAAGAATACATATTGTAATACATTATAAAATACGTTATGACACTAATACTTACACAAAAGACATGTTAATTTTTAATACATTTATTTGTGTTTTGTTTTTTACCGAATTCAAAGAAATAAAGAGAAATTTAACTAGTAGATACTCGATACAATGGACTTGTAAGTTACTTGATTTTCTAGTGTTTTTTTTCACAGC